TCTTAACCTCTTGTGCCACTAGGGAGGCCCCTGTATCCTGTTCAACAAGCCTTTCCGTACCTGGAATTTCATGAAATCTTACTGCTTCTAGAAGTCTTACGGTTTTGCCTTTGACATTTAGGTAATTTGTACATGTGACTCACAAGAGTTAGAAATCAAGTTTTCTTTGCTCCTGCCTGGACATCCATTCATTGCAGTTTTCTTCACCCCATTGCTCTGCAGTGCATTGTGGTACAGCTCATGGGCATATATGTTTCTGGGTGCCTATTTGGTTTCATTCCACTCATACAAGACCTTGGGGTAACTAAATACACGTATCAAGTGAAAGAGACATTTTCAAAACCTTGGGTAATGATGTGGGTGTAATTGGTAACTGGGTTAAGATCTTAACGACCACCTGCTAGTCCTGTCATTGTCGGAACTTCCCGGGAGCTCACTGCCTGCCCTTTTCCTCTTCCTCACTGAACAATAAAGACTCAGGACAACATACTTAGTGTGAGAACAGCAGCTGCCCTTGGTGAGACTCCGCAGCAGTTCTGATCTTTAATCTGCCTTTTAAAAGCTCATTCAGTGTCAGTCCTAACCTGAACTGACAAAGAAAATCCAATGTATTGCCCTTATTATCAATACTTACATGTTTATAGTAAAACGATCAATGTGCTTGATTGCAGGGTGCTGTCCAGGGCCCCCTGGAGGGACTGCATTTTTCTAAAAATCTGCACACATCTGGCTGGGGCTGAGTGAGGAATGTGAGCTCTGCAGGTCACCGTTTTGTGACCTGGAGCAAGATGGTGTGGCTCTGGGTGGGTCTCCTTGTCATGTGATGAGCCATTGAGCCCAATCCACTGTACCTTGTAGGACAACTGAGGCACAGAGAAAGTGTGAAAGGACTTTAGACATTTATGTTTAAAGTAAAGGCACACCGGGCCTCCCCAGTGGCGCAGCGGTTGAGCGCTGGGTTGCGAAGCTGCCCGCAGCGTCTGCGGCGCCGGTTCGATCCCCCGGCTGCTCCCCGGCCACCGGAGGAGGGTCCCACATGGCGCGCAGACCTCTCCTGCCGCCCGCTGCTCCCCTCAGCAGTGTACTTCGGTCCTTCTGCCTGCTCTGCTCCCCGCTCTGGCTCTGGTGAATTCTCTCGCCCTCCCGTGCTTCTGGCTGTACCCAGTGCATGTATAAACAAAAAAACAAATAAATAAATAAATAAATAAGCATGCCTCTAAAAAATAAATAAATAAATAAAGTAAAGGCACACCTCTGAAATATTGCGGGTTGTGTTCCAGATTACCACAATAAATCAGTATTAAAATAATCTAAATACCAGGGATTTTTGTTTTCCCACTATACTGACTCTATATTGTAGTCTGTTAAGTGTACATCAGCATTTTGTCTACAAAAGTGATGGGGCCCAGGGTGCTGTGGGCCCCAGAGGTCCTTGACTTTGGTGCAAGAGAGAATTTGTGTGGCAGTCAGAGGTCAGAGAGAAATGAAGTTTTTATTGTGAGACTGCTACATAGTCAAGAAAGAGGATGTGGGCAGATTCAAGACAATTTGTGCCTTGAGTCTTGAGACTGTCTATACACACACACTGACGCACAGACACACATAGACACACACACACACATTATATATTCACACATGGGGTCCTGAATAGGTTTTGACCAGTTTATATTAGCAAGACAATTGGGAACAACTTCCTTTTGGTGAAATATGACAAAGTTTTATAAGAAATAGCACAAATGTGACAAAATGAGTCTAAACTAGAGTGTTTGGTTCACTTCACTTCGTTCTGGAATGAGCATAGCCCGTTTTTCAGAGTTACAGACTTGGGGGAGGGGTTTGGGGTGGGGGTGGCTAGCTGTAGCCTCTGTGCTAAATTCCCTCTCTACCTCAGCAGCACTGCTGAAAATACTTTATTAAAATGCTTTATTGGGCCTCCCCGGTGGCGCAGCAGTTGAGTGCTGGCTTGCGAAGCTGCCCGCAGCTTCTGCAGCACCGGTTCGATCCCCGGCCACCAGGCGAGGGTCCCACATGGCGCACAGACCTCTCCTGCCGCCCGCTGCTCCCCTCAGCAGTGTACTTCGGTCCTTCTGCCTGCTCTGCTCCCCGCTCTGGCTCTGGTGAATTCTCTCACCCTCCCGCGCTTCTGACTGTACCCAGTGCTTGTATAAATAAATAAATAAATCTTTAAAAAAAAAAAAAAAAGAAAAAGTTATATTAAAAAAATACTTTATTGCTGAAAAATACCAACCATAATCTGAGTTTTCCATAGGTCATAATCTTTTTCCCACAAATCTGTAACTATAAAAAATGCAATTTCTGGAAAGTGCAAGAGTAAAGAGCTCTAAAGTCCTGCTACCCTCCTTCCAGGACGCTGTTTGCATGAAGAAAGGCGGTGCTGTGTGTGTGTTGGGGGCGGGGGGTGTCACTAGCATCTCTCCCTTAAGGGAAACATATTTATTGCAGAATATTCTCCTATCTTCATTCCATCTCAGAATGGAACACAGTCACCCTTCAGTACCTGCAGACCTTGCTTCAGGCTGTGTACACCGGCCCCCCGCTGCACCTGCCTGCACCTGCGCCGGGAGCCCTGTGAGGACCTCTATTGGCAGACCCCGTCTTCTCACTTCCTTCACTTCAAAGAATCTTTTTGACTTAATCCTTCTAGGGATGACCTCAGGAAACTTCATCCAGTTTGCCGTGTTTTCCCTCTTCTTCATGTTGCGGCCATCGCTGTCACCACAACTCCTCTAATGCCTTACAAACAGGTGACTGGGCTACCCCCCAGTCACTTGGGTTTCTAGGAGTGCAGATGTCTGTGCTTTGGGAGGAAGGACGGGGTAGTGGAAGGTCTCAGGGAGGGGATGACAGGCTCGCTTTCTGGACACGCACTAGTTCTGAGACCTAAGCAGGTCCCTGTGACATCTCGACAAGAGGGATTAGATGAGTCTTCCCTGTGCTGGGATCTAGTTTGTGTGGCCCCAGTGAGGCCACGCCCCACGGTGACTTCCACGTGCTCCCCTCCTTGTCTGCAGAGTCACCATCTGGGCCCTGCAGACTAGAGCCAGCTGCTGCTCCATCCACGCAGGGGGCCCAGAGCAAAGGGCCTGCAGACCTTCCCTTGTCTGGACACCAGAGCCCACGAGTCCTCAGTGTTTTCAGAGCAGAGGCTGCTGGGAGGGCGGCTGGGAAATGGCTTACGGGATGCACAGGGGGTAGTGGTAGGGGTGGGGAACTCAGCCTCTCCAGGTCAGGAAGGAGGGGGCACAGGAATGGAGTTAACTCAGGCTTCAGACCCCCCAGGGCGGATGCCCCCAGGGGAGGCTGGCCTGAGCTGAGGGAACCTGAGTCTGTCCCTCAGAGGGGAGAGGACTTTCCCCAACATGTTGATGTCAGGGGAGCAGCTTGTGGGTTTCATGGCCCAGCACCCTTCTTGCTCCCTGGGTCGGTTCCCCAAGACGTTTCTGGGCTGGCTCTGCTTGCTGGGGTCTTGTTGGCCTCTCTTGCCCCTCCGCGGGGGCAGTTCTTGAACCTGCCCTGTGCTGGGCACTTGGGCACAGCTGGGGCTCGCTGGAGGGACCATGTTTCAGAGTGTCAGGAGTTTTGGCTCTTGGCTGCTGCCAGCCCACCAGCTGCCGGGGCTCTCTTCTCTGTTCCTGTTGTTATAGGACAGGGAGAGGGGCACCCCAGACCCCACAAACCTGCCTATTAAGGGGGACCACCCTGTTACACTGTCACTTTGGCAACTCGGGCAGAAAGACGGGCTGTGCAAGAGGTTTGCATGTGGACAAGTTACCTCTCCATATCCCACCCCCAATACTCACCCCCCCATTGAAGCAAATCCCTAGTGGGGGAAGGAGGGACCCTGGGTTTTGCTGTTGCGCCAGAGGTGACATAAAAATACCTGGGGTTGATTTAATGAAGAAAACAATTTGTGGAGGCAAATACTTGGGAATAAACTGTCGATACCATTTTCAACCACATCGTCCCCACCTGCTCAGCCCGCCCTCGCCTGGGGTGGAATGACATTTCCCAGGACAGCCTGGTGAGGGCTTGCGGGCCACTGGATATGATCCTCAAGGGCTGCAGGAACACCTTTATGTTTGCCTGGTGTTGGGCCTTTAACCAGATGCCCCTCACTCTTGATGGCATTCATGGGTGACTTACTCCCCCGGAGGTGTTCCCGGTCCTGTGGGAATTGAAAGCAAGGGCCAGTAGGGCCCTGGAGTGAGAAAACCTCTCAAATCCTGCCTAAGGCCTTGGGCCTACTGGCTTCACTGCTTGGGTGTTCTGGTTTCCTTATCTGTAAATCGGGAATAAGACTCACCCCTCCCCGGACTGTTCAGAGGAGGGACTTACACAGATTCATTCACCAGATGGCCTTGGGCTGCTCTGTTCTGCACAGGAGACCCCAGAACAGGTCTGGGGTGGGGTGAGGGAGGCATTCCCAAACCATACAGTGCCAACGGGGAGGGTGACTGCCAGGAACCCCTCATTTCCTGCTCCCCAGGCCCAGAAGGGCAGAGAAGGGTCCTCTTCTTGGCCAGCAGAGTTGCTCTTGCCACAGGGTGCCCATGTTGGGGCAGGAAGATGAGCCAGAAGGGTTCTCAACACAGCAATTCAATTGCAGGGATGGGGGTGGTGGGTGGGGGTGGGGATGTAGCAAAGAGCCTGTGGGTGATGCCCTGAGCCAGGCCTCCCCCGCCTGCCCCTCTTGTCCCACCTGGGCAGGGGCATCTCTCTGAATTTATAACCAGCTGCCCCTGGAGGCCCTTTCTTCTCTGCCTCTTCTGTCAGAAAGCCAGGTGCCCCAAATGTGGCCTTGGGGGCAGGCAGGGAGGGCAGCAGCTGGCTCAGGAACCTGGGGAGGGGAGCAAGTCAGCAGGACCCCTCCAGGCAGTGTCAGAGCCCCTCCCTAGGGAAACAGATTCCAGACAGGCCCCGCCCCTGGGAGCCTGTGGCCTCACCTCAAACTCAGTGCCCTGTCTGCTCCTTTCAGCCACCTTCCTGCTCAGCCCAGACCCTCCCAAGTCGGCAGGTGCCGCAGCAGCCAGGCGTGTGCCTGCCAGAAGCCTCAGTGGGAGCTCAGCGGCCTGTCAGGACAGCACTGTCTGCTGGCCTTTCCAGCCATGTGAGTGACAGTGGGGCCCAGTCGAGGGACGCTGCGGCCAGCTCTCCATACCCCGTGGTCCCCTGAGCCTGGGCCGGGGCCCCTTGTGCTGCATTGCTCTGAGGGGCCGGAGGACGCCTCCTCCTCACAGCTGCCGCGGGTCTGTGGGGAGGCTGCATGTTGGAACCTTCACTCCTGGCCTCTCACTTCACCCCTTATAGTCATGGGATAAAATCCTTCGTGTCTCTGTACCCAGGTCTTTGGCAAATTGGAGAGATGGACTCAAGGGCTGAAATTTGGTGCTCACCACTGCTCACCTCCAAGTTCATATCACCACACCCTTCACTCCCCTGCACCCCCTACTGATTTTCGCAGCCCCTGCGCTCCCTGCCACAATCACTGAGGGCCCCTCTTTCTGTGGCTGCTCCCCTAACTCTGTTTTCCATCCACAGACCATGGCTTCTTGCCCTGAGCTGGACAATGCCCAGCGCGAATGTACGGAGGGGGCTGCTAGTGGGCCGCGCACCCAGCCCGGGGAAGACGAGGACACCCTCAGAAGTGAGTCAGGTCATCCAGTCTTGGGCTGGCCTCCCTGAGGGCCCAGGGCTCCTGACTCTGACCCCTCATTCCTCATGCCCTGATGTTGGTTTGGACAGATGACCCTGGTCCCCTGTTAACCGAGATAGAGCTTCTGCCGTCCTACACCACCGTGGCTCTGATGGAGGTGCCTGCAGAGAAGGAAGACCCCTGGGATCTGCCTGCCCTTCAGGACAAGGGCATCAAGTGGTCAGGTAAACATGGGGTGGGGGGGCAGCAGGAGGGGCCAAGCTCACCACTTCCAGTGACTCTGCCTCATGTCACCCTCCAAGTCCCCACAGTTTCCTGCCCTAGGAGCAGAGGTCCTGGCGGGGGTGGGGGGTGCCCCTGCAGGACCAGGAGGCCTAGACCCTAAAACAGCGTGATGACAGGGCACCTTTGGTCCTCACTTTCATTCTCCAACTGTGCCAGGCACTGGGATAGGCACCAGAGAAGTCACTGGGTGATCCTTAGATCCACTGTGACTCACCTGTCCCAGGTACTATCAGGGGCTGTAGATAGAACTGGTGCTGGGGGGTGTCCTCTCACCTACAAGTAGCCCCCCAGGGAAGTCTTCAGAAGACAGAGAACGTTCTGCAGATCAGCAGGGTGCCAGCAAGCGTTGCACTTAAATTTGCAGGTGCAGATGAAAGGTCGGTCTGTGGATCAGACAGCTGGGCAGGGGTGGGAGGTGGGAGAGAGCAGATGAGGAGCACGTGAAAATTGAGTGGAGAAACAGCAGTCAAGGATGTACAATTCCATGGTGTATTAGGGCCCAAGCCCTCCCCCAGTGCAGGTGGTAATGGCATGCTTGTGGCCATATTTGAGAAAGTGCTCTGTGCTGTTCTGCAAGTGCTCGGAGAGCCATTTCCTCTGCCCCCACTCCTCAGTGGCAGGTGCTGTGATGGCTCATCAGGAACATGGTTCAGCTGAGCATGGGGCCTGGCTGGGCTGTCTGTGCCACAGCCCAAATGTAGACATGGCTGGCAGTGGTCACTGCAGAGGGCGGCCATTGCTGGGCCATCTCCAGGCCTTGCTGTGCATCAGAGCTTGCAGCTGCATGGCCGGTTGGACCAGGGGAGTCCGAGCTCATTGCAAAGCTCAGTGTTTCAGACACTAAAAGCCTTTGTGCCTTTTCCCCTCCTCCAGACAGAGACACCAAAGGGAAGATTCTCTGTGTCTTCCGAGGAATCGGGACATTCATTTTGCTTCTGGGATTTCTTTACTTGTTCATGTGTTCATTGGATGTGCTCAGCAGTGCCTTCAAGCTGGTTGGAGGTATGGAGGGAGGGGTCGATGACCTGGGGTGAGTCATGTTACTAATTTTCATTCATACCTTCGCATCTCGTCTAATTTCCCCTAGCTGCCGCCTCTAGGTTTGTTAGGATTGGAAGACACTCATTTCCTTTGTGAAGTTTATGCATTTTAGAAAACACAGACCTGAGACCTATAAAATGCCATGACCTGAATGTGGGGGCTTAGCTCAGGAGCCCCAGGCAGAGCCTCTTCCAGGTTCTTCAGAACCTGTGTTTGTCCATGAACCCAGGCAGGAAGAGATTTCATTAAAGGCTTATGTGAGGGGATCGCTTTCCATTCATTGACCACCCAACTGAGTGTGTTATGGGATAAGTACATTTTCTGTGTATAAAGAATTTATAGAATTCAGCAATAAAAAAACTCCAATCCATGAATACATGGCAGCAGATCTAAACAGACAATTCCCCTAAGAAGAGCTGCAGAAAGTTGTTAGATACAAGAACGAATATTCATCATGTTCCCAGTTAGAGAGGTACAGGTGGAGCCACAGGTGATACCATCTCACACCTGTGAGAATGGCACACATTACAAAGACCCCCAACAGTGCTGCAGAGGGTGTGTAGAACGAGGAATCCCACGGTCCTATTGGTAGGAAGATACACTTCTGCACCTGTTATGAAAAGCAGTCTGGATTTACCTTAAAAAGGAAATTCTATGGGGGGGTGGGGGGTGGGGGCAGGGGAAAGCAAACATTGTTTAAAAGTGACCAATGATGTAAAAAAATATATAAAAAATTTAATCGAAAAATGGAAAAACCATATGACCCAGTAATACCACTGTTGGGCAAACGTCCATCCCATAAACAGCTGACTATAGTTAAGGCTTCAGTGCACTAGTGACCTGCTAACCCCCATTTCATGCTCATGGGTTGTTTGTTTTTTTTTCTCCCAGCTAAACTTGCTAGCCATTTCTTCAGCAACAACTCTATTATGTCCACGCCTATGGGGGGTCTGGTGATTGGGATGTTGGTGACCGTCCTGGTTCAGAGCTCCAACACGGCTTCCTCCATCATCGTCAGCATGGTGGCCTCCTCACGTGAGTCCAGGTTCCCACGAGCCCAGACATACCAGCTTTTCACAGCTTGTCTGGGAGTCTGGGACTTACTCTGAAAACATCCACCTGCCATGTGTTCCACTTGGACCCAGGCAGTCTCCCATTTCTAGTCCCATGGGTGAGTTGAACACAAGCTCCGATGCTTGAAAACTCAGAACCGTCTGTCCAGTCCAGGAGTCCCTAGCCACGTTTGGATCTTTAATTTTATGTAATTTTAATTTTTTTAATGATTTATTTTTATTTATGCATACAAGAACTGGGGTGTAGGTCACACGTGCAGGGGTGAGAGGATTCACCAGAGGCAGAGTGGGGAGCAGAACAGGCAGATCCACTGAAATGCACTGCTGAGGGGAGCAGCGGGTGAGACAGGAGAGGTCTGCTGTGCCATGTGGGTCAGCTCCCTGGCTGGGGATCGAACTCGTGTTGCAGTGGCTGGCGATAGCTTGGTAATGCTGAGACTTTAACTCCTGCACCACCAGGGAGGCCAAATTTTATGCAATTTTAATTTAAATTATAAATTTCAGTTGCACACTTACTGTTTCATAGGGTCAGTGGTCAGGTATTAGTGTCCCCATCTTGGATAGTGTAGGCTCGGGACACCCCCATCACTCTCAGTGCTGGGAATCCAGACCTATCAGCACAGCGCACATTGGCTTTGGGACAACTGAACTCTGGAAGCTGGTCTGCCAAGCCCGACCCTCTGATATTTTCTCTGGCTAAGTGAGGACATACCTCTGATGGGGCCAGATTTAATTAAATGTTTTTCTGGAGGAAATTAGAAAAAGACATTAGTTCTTCAAAGTACTTACTTTTAATGTCAGGACATTGTGGCAATACAGTATCAATTTTAAAAAATTATACTGCCAGGAATTGGTTATTATAAATAAACAAGTTCTTAAACATTATTTGCTGGTCTTCTGTAAACTGCCCCACCTGTAATTGAAGGAGAGGGGAATTAGCCATTTAAAAGTGGGATTCGCAGAGGGCTTATGGAATTCTAGAGATTTCTGAAAATTATGCACATTAAATTTGGCGGGGGTGGTGGGATCATGTGCCTATCTCTATGGAGAGCCACCCTAGTCTTCATGAGATTCACAGCCAGGTGCAGACCCCGAAGAGGTTAAGACCTGCTGCTATAGAGGCCTGTCAGCCTGAATGAGTTCCCCCTGCCTCAGGCCATCAGGACGTGGCCAGGCTGCCTTCCCAAAGTGCCAACCACCTTTCCCACCCTCAGTGCTGACCGTGAGGACCGCCATCCCCGTTGTCATGGGGGCCAACATCGGGACGTCCATCACCAACACCATCGTGGCGCTCATGCAGGCGGGAGACCGCAACGAGTTCCGAAGGTAGGAGGCTCCGCACCAGCCCTGCGCCCCCAGGGCCCCGCTGCTGCCCATGTTGTAGGAACTTCCTTCACTGAGCCCGTGGCAGTGGCTTGTCATCCCTGGAGCTGCTGTGGGTACTGGAGGGAGGCGGGCACACACCTACCGGGCAGCTAAACCCAGCCCCCAAGGGGGGGCTGTATAATGGGTCTCCACCACTGTGGGGTCACTGGGCTGAGGGCACAATCCCAGGGGCAAGCGCTGAGTGAGGGGCCTGGAGCAAAGCCAGCTAGGGTAGGATTTCTGTCCCCATGCTCAGAAAAAACACTCCCAAAGCCTTCATTTGGGACAACTTTTCTTTGTCTTCACGTCATGCTAATAAAATGTCAGAATGTTCTTTGTGGAGGTAAGACCTGAGGATGGTTCAGGATGAACACAGGCAAAGGAAACCATTTTCCTCCAAAAGGTCAATGTGAAAATCAAGTGCATATCCTGGCCTCTCTGCTCAGGGGGGATGGGCCTTTTCCAGAGTTTATTGCAATTCAGAAGCCCTTCGGGCTGGTCTGCACGTTGCTCTGACCGCAGCTCTGCGTGGGCCGCACGAGCAATCCCCTGGCAGCTGGGGGGCAGCAGACCCCACTCCCTGTCTGCGGGTGACCAGCAGGCAGCCGGAGCCCTCGGGGCCACGCATCCCCCCTGAGCCTCGCCAAGGCCTCCTCCCTGCACCAGTGTCCCGAGGTCACGGTCACAATGTGCATCCCCGGGGGCTCCTGCTCGGATTTCTCAAGCAGCGGGTAGACTTTCTCAGCCCCATTTATTCATGTGGAAACATGAACAGGCCACGTACCTCAGGGAGGGCATAGCTGGGACTCGACCCCAGTTTTTTTTCTCCAGAGGTGAGTCCTTCTCTGTTACTCTGATTTTTTTTTTTAAAGATTTATTTATTCATGCATACAAGAACCGGGGTACAGGCCAGATGTGGGGGAGGGTGAGAGGATTCACCAGAGACAGAGTGGGGAACAGAACAGGCAGACTGACGAAATACACTGCCGAAGGGAGCAGCGGGTGAGACAGGAGAGGTCTGCTGCACCATGTGGGAATCTTGCCGACCAGCTGGGATCAAACTCGTGCTGCAGAGGCTGGGAACAGCTTCACAGCACTGGGCTCAACCACCTGCGCCACCAGGGGAGGCCTGTTACACTGATATTTGCCCCGAATAACTTGTGAAATATACACAGAATCCCTGGAGCTGCCCGCACGTAGGAACGAGATGGACTCCCAGCCCCTGGAGGGGAATCTGGGCAGATTGTCTCAGTGACATCACGGGGGATGAGTGACTTTCTTTCCTGGTGGTTTGGATCATGGCCTTATAGATTCCTGCCACTATTATGATTTCAAACATCTACAGGTGTCTTAAAATATTTTGCCAATTTTGGGGCCTCCCCGGTGGCGCAGCAGTTGAGCGCTGGGTTGTGAAGCTGCCCGCAGCCTCTGCAGCGCCAGTTCGATCCCCGGCTGCTCCCCGGCCACCGGAGGAGGGTCCCACATGGCGCGCAGACCTCTCCTGCCGCCCGCTGCTCCCCTCAGCAGTGTACTTCGGTCCTTCTGCCTGCTCTGCTCCCCGCTCTGGCTCTGGTGAATTCTCTCACCCTCCCGCGCTTCTGACTGTACCCAGTGCTTATATAAATAAATAAATAAATAAATAAATAAATAAATAAATAAATAAATAAATAAATAAAAATAAATCTTAAAAAAAAAATATTTTGCCAATTAGGTAATATGATAGGTGAATTTTTATACATATGAGTAAATCGCAAGTTAATTTCCCTTATTGCTAATATGTCTCACCAGCTTCTGTCTATTCTAACCCAGCTCCCTTTTGGCTCTGAGTGTTCTGACATGCAGATTTGGGTCTTTCTGTTTGGTTTTCTTTCTTTTTTTTTTTTCTGAAATAGTCTTTATTGTTTTTTTTTCTTGCATGTTATTCCAACCCAGATGCTTCGTACACCAGACCCCTTTCCATTTCTCTTTTTACTAAGAATTTGGATGTTTTAGATGTTTGCCCTTTGTCAGTACCAGTGCCCGACTTCCCACCCTCTGGCAGCAGATGGGTATGAAGACTACTTGGTCTTTCCTCAAGGTCTTCTTGGATATGAGGCTCTTCTTCAGACTGCCTCCTGGGTCTTGCACCCCCACCTAGGCCATGACCTAAGCCCCCCAGGCTGCTGGCCACTCAGGGAATACTCAGAGGCAGCTCAACTTGTACCCAAACTACCAACCTCCCCACTTGAACAGCCCTTCCCAACCCTCATGTCGCCGCCATTTTAGGTCCATGGAGAGGTACTATTTTTTTTTTAATTTATTTATTTATGCATACAAGAGCTGAGGTACTGGCCAATGATGCAGGGGGGTGAGAGGATTCACCAGAGACAGACTGGGCAACAGAACAGGCAGATTGACCGAATTACACTGCTGAGGGGAGCAGCGGATGAGGCAGGAGAGGTCTGCTGCGCCATGTGGGTAGCTCCCTGGCAAGCTGGGGATCTAACTCATGCTGCAGAGGCTGCGGTTTGCTTCTTAGTGCGGTGCTTAACCCCTTGCACCACCAGGGAGGCCCCCGATGTGTAGAGGTACTATTGAGGAAAACATTTACCCTTTTGTTCTTTTGAAACCCCTGTTAGGCTGTTTGGCTTGTAGATGGCAACTGAAAGGGTTGGGTATGGGCACTCCCAAGTTTTCCTAGAAGGTCCCCACAAGCTGCACAGTCTGGCAGCCCTTTGCTCTCCCTCTGTGGCTGGCCTTTGGACCAACATGCTCCTCACTGTTATCCCCAGTAACATGCACACTACAGTCCCCAGTTCCTGAAACTCTGCTCAACAACTGATCATCGGTCAGGACACACCCAAGCAGTCCCCCCAACCAACTGAAGACACCTGGAGTGTAAACAGAGCCTCAGGCCCCTCACTCTCTGTGCGGCAGGCCTCTCCTGTCTTGCGCACTGCTTCTCTTAGCAGTGCATTGAAATACATATTCTAAATAATAAAAAATCAATCAATCAATAAGCACCTTTGAGCACCTTTCCAGAGCACAAAAAAAAAAAGAAAAGAAAAGAAAAGAAAAAAGGATTACATTTGCGTCCAGAGTTTTAATAAGCACCCCATCCTGTTCCTGCCTTTGCAAAGGAAGCTTGTCCTCCACCCTCATGATTCTAAGTGGGCTGATGCAGTTTTCCAAAAACTGGTCCCTGAGCTAATTTTTGTATCCATCATATGTCGAGTTCCTTGTGTCCCGCTCAGCAGAGAAGGCTGAGTGCTCCGTCGCCTGGTGAGAAGGGTTCTGTCCACACCGGGACACAAGATCTTGGGCAGTGCCCACACAGTTTCCACCCCCTAGCTTTCTTACCCTCAGTTCCTCACTGATAAAATGGGAATATTAATAACACACACTTGGGGATTTGTGTACAAATCCCTCCTCAGTTATAAACTAAGATTATACACATGCGAGTCCATGTATCAGGGGCATCTAGAGAAGACTCGGTACTGACCTGTCTAGACTGGTGACTAATCTCACTGTGACTTGGGGGTGCTGTCCTGTAGGGCTTTTGCAGGTGCCACCGTTGATGACTTCTTCAACTTCCTCACTGTGTTTGTGCTCTTGCCTCTGGAGGCTGCCACCCATTACCTGGAGACCCTGTCTAACCTTGTCGTAGACACCTTCCACTTCAAGAATGGAGAGGATGCCCCGGCACTCCTGAAAGTTGTCACAGTTCCCTTGACAAAGCTCATTATCCAGGTAACCCAGCTTTGTTCAGAGCGGGCAGAGCTCATGTACCTCTCTGACCCCCCCTTGTTCAGTGAGGCAAACGCGGTGGAGAAGCATGAGGGCCTGTAATCACTGCTCTGTAGCTGCCTCTGGAAAAGACCGGGAGAGCAAAACTTTCGGGATACTTGTTCCAGAAATTTGCCTCTTTTATCTCCTTGACTTCAGTTGTGTATGGCATCTTTATTGGGATCAGGACGGGAGCTGCTAAATACTCAAGGGTTTTTCATTGCACTGCTGGAGCCGTTATGTCCCCATGATGAATCTCGGTCCCAGGGGGTTCACTGATTAAGGATTATCCAGCCCCTGAGCAAAGAGGCAGGTTGCTGTCTCTTTGTCCACTAGGGTCTGCCTCTTGTCCACTAGGGTCTGCTATGTTATTGAAATAAATGTCAGCAGGCTTCGTGGACATGGCCCTGGAAAGAAAGGGCCAGCTTGGACCTTCCCTTCCACTCTGTCCTTCTGTATTTCCATGTCATTGGTCCCCCAGTGAATGTCTGTAGCCCATTCCTACACACCAACCTTGATTCAGCTCATCGTTGTTAACTTACCAAATGCTCGCTGACCTCCAGGTGCTGTGCTCCACCCTGGGAGTGCAGCTAGGGGGAGCCACAGGTGACTCCTGCAGGGGCTCACTGTCAGGTTCCTGCCCACCGAACCCCTCTAGCATGGACACATGACCCTTCCACAGTCAGCTCTGATGACTCTCGTTTATTACCTTCCTCAGTTGGATGTAAATGTTATCAACCAAATTGCGATGAATGATGAATCCATCAAAGACAAAAGTCTGGTCAAGATTTGGTGTGAAACTTTTACCAATAAGGTGAGTTTGTAAAAATATTTCTGGGTGGGTAAACAGCTGCATCTGTACTTTAAGCAAAACCTTCATTAAAGGAGGGAAAAACCTAGGGGGAAGAAAATTAGGAACTCATGAATAATAAATACCGGCCAGTGAGAACACTTGAAAACACAAGTTCTTAAATTCTGGGTGGACAGAAAGAAGGAATAGGACAGACAACCCGCTTTGCTCCATCTCCCACAACACAAGCATATTGTTGCTGGCTGGTCCTTACATAGGTGTCTCTTGGCTTATCTCTCCTGCCTCTGTGTTTCCACTGGTGGCTTGACATGTGGAAATAGTGCGTCGTGCTCACAGGTGCATACACCTGTGTGTATGTGATGCCCCCACTCCCCACATTATCAGCTGCTCCCACCAAAAGAGAGAACTGGGGATTGTAAATACTATTCTCATATTTGTCACAGACTCAGGTGAATGTCACCGTCCCCTCACCTGAGAACTGCACCTCCCCACCCCTTTGTTGGACGGATGGTGTCTCCACCTGGACCATCAAAAACGTAACCTACCAGGAGAACATCGCCAAGTGTGAGTGGGGCAGGCAGACCTCAGCCATGGGTTGGGGGGAACTGCCTGGGGGGCCGATGGGTGTTGCTTATGTGTGTGGAGCCCCAGTCACAAATGGAAGAAGGACAGTGAGATTTACTGAGCACGGACGCAACCTGTTCATTGAGCTACTTGCTTCCACTGCAGAGGAAACTGAGGCTCAGGGCAGGTGACAGACCCAAGGTCTCACGAGAGGGGCAGACGTGGGGCCTGACACCCAGTTCTCTGGCAGTTCCAGCTCCTCCTCAGACATCATCAGCACACTCTAGAGTGTTCCCTCCAGGAGCCTTGGCGTCCTCTTGGTAGAGACTCTAATGAGGTGACAACCAGAGGGGTAGGAGATGTTGGGCCCACACAGAACAGACATAACACCCTCAGGCACGAGTCCCTACTATGCACCAGCCCCACTCACGGCCCTGGCTGGGGCACTAAGCAAGTAGTGAGCCTCCTGCCAGATGCTCCTGTTTTTCTGAAATAGCAGGAATGCACATGATTTCATGATATTATTTCTATATGTGATATGATGTAACATTGTATCTGCAAACTTCTCCAGACCAGACATCTTTAATTTTTCTGTGCATTCCTTTTATACCATTTGTATTTCTCTGCTTCTTGTCCTCCTATTCACTATCCCATACGTACGTTAAGTGTGAACAGGTGTGCTTCACCACACGGAATCAAGCCCCCCATCCATACCCTAGGTGCTATACATCCATTTCTATATACATGTTTTGCTGGAACCATCATGAGGGCACCCAGAGAGTTTAAAAAACAAGGATGTTTAAATTAACAATACCCCTACTTGCAGGTCTTACCCTCCTCAAATATTTTGTTTTAAGCAACCCCAGCATAGTGAGTAAAGCACACATGGGATTCAGAGGTAGAAGATCTGGCTGGAGGCCAGTGTCACCCCTGACCTACTGAATGACTTGAAGGATTTCACTTCATCTTCGAGCATCAGCTGATGCACCTCCCAGAACATGTTCTCAGGGCTACATGTAGATGCAAGGGAGGCTGGGCGTCTGGACTGTCACATGTCAAATTAAAAACCAGGTTCTGCTACTCTAGGGCAGAAAGATGTTCAGGAATAAATAATACTCTGTGGCCTTGGGTGGTCTCTGTGCTCCTAACAGGATTTCCCATGGTCTCCTCAGGCCAGCACATCTTTGTGAATTTCAACCTCCCGGATTATGCTGTTGGCATTATTCTGCTGATTGCCTCCCTGCTGGTCCTCTGTGGCTGCCTGATCATGTTCGTCAATATCCTGGGCTCCATGCTCAGGGGGCAGGTAGCTGCTGTCATTAAGAAGACCATCAACACTGGTAAGTACACTGACCCCATCCTGGACCTTCTAGGACTTGGCATCTCTATGGACATCCTGAGAGGGGAGGGCCTTAGAAATTTGTGTCTCACAGTGCTGCAGACAGGGATATTCAAGATCAGAGCGCCCATCAGGTCAGAGTCTACGGGCACCTGCTTCCTGTTTCACAGGTGGCCACCTTCTCACTGTGTTCTTACATGCAGGAGGGAGTGGAGAAGATGTGAGGTCTCTCTTCTATAAAGGCACTAATCCACTCATGACCTAGCTACCTCCCAAAGCCCATCTCTGACAGAATCACATTGAGGGTTAGGGTTACAATATCTGAATATAATGGGGGGAAGACCTTCAGTGCACAGCAGTTGGGTACAGCGTTGCTCACCTCTGACCTACAGTGATTATGTATCTTTGTTTTCTACCCTTCTTACCACACACCCACTCCTGTGGATCCACCATGCAAATATGCAGGGTTTAGGATTCTAAAATTAAAATATGCACTTTCAGACCATGGTGCGGGGTGGTTGGCATTTACACAACTTAACGATCTTTTCCCAGCCCATTCCCCCTGGGGCCCTATAGATGTTCCAACCGGATCGCCATTTCATGCATTCCCTAGAAGGGCTGTGAAGACCTGTTCCTTCTGTCTTCCAGATTTTCCCTTCCCCTTCACCTGGGTGACCGGCTACCTGGCCATCCTTGTGGGAGCAGGCATGACCTTCCTTGTGCAGAGCAGCTCCGTGTTCACAACTGCCATGACCCCACTGTATGGTGAGTTTTACTCTGGCTTCTCCATCTGGCCACCAATGCCATGCTCCATATACTTTGTGACTGATACTATGGCTTTTGTGTCTCCTCCTTCCACCCCCCCAGGTATTGGCGTGATATCCATTGAGAGGGCATATCCACTTACTCTGGGCTCCATCATTGGTTCCACCACCACCTCCATCCTGGCCGCCCTAGCCAGCCCTGGCAACACTTTGAGGAGCTCACTCCAGGTCAGTAAATGCTGAGTGGAGTAGGAGTTCTATGGCTGGGATACATCTCTATACATGATCTTATAAACAGATGGCTTCAAACAAAAGGCAAGCTTTTTTGTTACAATACAAGGAAAAGTCACAACCACACAGCTTGGAAAACAGTCAAAGCCCACTACTCCAGGCCTCCCTGGTTGTTCAAGGGGTTAAGCATCAGCACTATGACGCTCTCTGCAACTAACACAGTACAATTTCCATTCCCAGCCAGGGAGCTAACTCACATGGTGTAGCAGACCTCTCCTGTCTCGCCCGCTGTGCCCCTCAGCAGTGTGTTTCAATCTGCCTGTTCTATTCCCTGCTCTGTCTCTGGTGAATCTTCTCACCCCCTCCCCACACACACCTCTGGCCTGTACCCCAGCTCTTCTATGCATAAATAAATCAATCTTTGAAAAAAAAAAAAAAAAACAACGCCCATAGATGGAGACTCCCATTGTCAGTTTTTTGTTATTTTATTTTTGGAGAAAAAGAAAACAGTTTTAAAAAGCAAATACCAACCAGCATCCCTTATGTCCCTTTCACCCTATCTCCCACTCCCCCACCCTTTCCACCTCTGGTACCCCCAGTTCCATTATCAATGTCTTTGTCAGGTCATTGGCTTTGTCTCTTATATTATTGTTATTGGTGTTTACCTTTCTGGATAACTTAGCTTAGCATAATTCCCTCAAGTTCCTTCCATTTTGTTGCAAAGAGTAAATTTCATTTTTCTTTATAGTCAAATAGTATTCCATCATGTAATATAGCATACCCTGTTAACCAAACCTCTATCATTGGGCACGTTGGTGGTTTTCATATCTTATTTGTTGTAAATAATCTATAGTAAGCATTGTGGAAACTATAATTTTCAAGTTCGTGTTTTCATAGTCTTTGGATCAATATCCAGAAGTGTAATTGCTGGATCATATGGTATAATTACTTTAGTTTTTGAAGATAAATCAAGACCACTTGTCAAATGGCTGCACCAATATAAAATCCCACCAACAGTGTATCAGGTTCTTTTTAATCCCATGTTCTCACCGACACTTGTTGTTAGGAGTCTTTGGAGTAGACACTGTTCTTACTGATGTAAGATGATTTCTCATTGTGATCTTGATTTGCTTTTCCATTATTAAAATGGTGATAAACACTTTTTCATATATCTTGTTACCCATCTATCCTCCTTGGAAAAGTCCTATTCAGATCTTCTGCCTATTTTTTGATTGGGTTATTTGTTTTTTATATTTAATATAATGTTAAGTTTTTTAGTTCTTTCATTTTTTGTCTGTTTCCTTCCTCCATCCTTTTAGCCTCAGAGCCCTCAGGATATTTGTGATGTCTACTGGTTTTTGAACTGCTCTACATTATCAAATTGTCTGCTATGCAAATATCTAGTATTCGTTTCTATCATTCTGAGTTTGCTACATTAAGTCTATCAGATTCCCTCCATTTTGTTGAAAATGGCTGCATTTCATCCTTTCTTATACTACTCAGTACTCCATGGTATGGATATCCTACATCTTTTTGATCTAATCATCCATCAATGTACATTTGTGCTATTTCTTGTCCTACTTATTGTAAATAGTGTTTCTATGAACAGTATGTAACATTTTGTTGTTGTTGTTGTTGATGATAGTTTCACACTCTTTGGTGTAGGTGACTACGAGTGGGGTTGCTAGGTTATATGGCACTTCCATTTTAAATTTTTTAAGGTATGTTCAGATTGTTTTTCATAATAGGCACCCAGTTTACATTCCCATTAACAGTGCAATAGAGTTCCTGTTTCTCCATGTTCTCTCCAACACTTTTTTGGAAGGTCTTTTTTTTTTAAAGATTTATTTATTTATTTATTTATTTTTTATTTATATAAGAGCTAAGGTAGAGTCCAGAGTCATGGGAGGGTGAGAGGATTCACCAGAGACGGAGCTGGGAGCAGATCAGGCAGATGGACCGAAAGCACTGCTGAGGGGAGCAGTGGGCGAGACAGGAGAGGTTTGCCTCGCCATGTGAGAATCTCCCTGGCCGGCCGGGAATCAAACCGGCGCTGCAGAGGCTGCGGACAGCTTCACAGCGCTGTGCTCAACCTGCTGCACCACCGGGTAGGCCCCAGTTGGAGGTCTTTTTATTTTTTATTTATATTTTTTTAAGATTTATTTATTTATACAAGCACTGAGTACAGTCAGAAGCACGGGAGGGTGAGAGAATTCACCAGAGCCAGAGCAGGGACCAGAACAGGCAGACTGACTGAAATACACTGCTGAGGGGAGCAGCGGGCACAGCAGGAGAGTTCTGTCGTGCCATGTGGAACCCTCACCGGTGGCCGGGGTTGCAGCGAACTGGCACTGCAGAGGCTGCGGGCAGCTTTGCAGCCCAGCGCTCAACTACTGTACCACCAGGAGAGGCCCTGGGGGTCTTTTAAATATGTGCCATCCTCATGGGCGTGAGATGGTATCTCATTGTAGCGCTAACCTCATCTTCAATATTAGAGGTAAGGATAACAGCTTTTTACATGTTTTTTGGCTTTCTGGATATCCTTTTTGGTGAATTATCTGTTAATACCCTGCTGTCCATTTATTAATTGGCATATCATGTTTATTTTGTTATTGTTGAATTGTTTGAGTATTTTTATAATTTTTGGATATTGATCCCTTATTAGTTATATGTTGGTTAAATATTTTCTCCCATTCAATCTGGTGTCTTTTTAAGTGCTTGTATTTTTTTTCCATTGTGTAGAAGCTTAACTTGAAGTAATCCCCATTGTTTGTTTTTGCTTTAAATTCCCTTGTCATAGGAGTCATCAAAAATATCTTTATCATTGATGTCATCAAATGTATTTCCAATATGTCCTTCTATGTATTTCATTCTAGAAGATATTATATCTAATCTGTTAATCCATTTGGAGTTTATTTTTGTGTATACTGATAGGGTGTGTACCACTTCTTTCATAACCAGTTATTGAAATGTTTTAGTAGTCAATTTTTTTAAAAGTAAAAACCAAACAAACAGGGGGTCAATTTAATATTGTACTTGATTTAGTTCATTAACATTTCAATTTATAATCAATATAAAAAATTAGTGCTGTATTTACATCCTTTTTGGGAGCAAGTCTTTGAAATCCAGTTTGTGTTTTCCACCCACAGCACATCTCAGTGGAATGCAGTCTCACTGCACATGCTCAGTGGCTTAGGAGGCTGGTGGTTACTATATGGGTTGGTTACGACCGGTCCAAACCCCCAGCACGATGCCTGGCATCTCGTGAGCTCACATAGGAAAGTGACAAACTGTGTGGTCTTCGAAGCAGGCTACCTGGTGTAGAAGATATTACAGGTGTGAATCCCACCTGTACCACATCCACCTGTGTGACTTTGGGAAAATTGCTTAACCTCCTGCTGCCTCAGTTCCCTCCCATATAAGGCAGGGATTATTCAGTGGTGACATCATAGGGTATCTTTGGCTGATGAGACCACATAATGTGCTTTGAATGGACCCCCCACAAAGTGAATATACTATGAGGATTAGTTGCTGCTCTATTATTTTTAGTGTCAATATAAGCCTCCTTCCTTTTCTCCCCTCTCTAAAATTGTGCCATCGAATCAGAAATACCAGCTTTGCTGTAAGATTTTTCTCTGCCCCATCAGCTTTAAGCTGCTCAACTGAAAACATCATAACCAAGACACACAGTAGGTCTTCAGGTCATGGAGGTCTGGGCCAAGCTAAGGAGACAAGGAAACCCTTGATTCTGCCTAGGTGCTGCTGGGTGACCCCCTATTTCCCCCCTTCACCACACAACAGACCCACTCACCTGGGCAATTTCTATTGTGTTTCAGATTGCGCTGTGCCACTTATTCATTATCATCTCCGGTGTCTTGCTGTGGTACCCCATCCCGTTCACCCGCCTGCCCATCCGCCTGGCCAAGGCACTGGGCAGCATCTCAGCTAAGTACCGCTGGTTTGCTGTCTTCTACCTGATCTTCTTCTTCTTCCTGGTCCCACTGGCACTGTTTGGCTTCCTGATGGCTGACTGGCCAGTACAAGTGGGTCTGGGGGTGCTGTTCACCCTGGTGCTCCTTTCGGTGGTGATCATCAATCTCCTGCAGTCCCGCTGCCCGAGCATCCTGCCCAGGAAGCTGCAGGACTGGGACTTCCTGCCCCTGTGGATGCGCTCGCTCAAACCCTGGGACAACCTGGTCTCCTTGGCCACCAGGTGCTGCCAGACGCACTGCTGCTGCTGCTGCCCCAAGTGCAGCAAGTGCTCGGAGGACCTGGAGGAGGGACAAGACATCCCAGTGCAGACCCCTGCACTCTCTGAGAACTTGGCCATGGGCACAGAGGCCAACGTTAGGATTCCCATGGCCCAAGTGGATGCTCTGGGCAGAAATACCGTCTCTAGCAGCACAGCCTTGTAGGGGTGGCTAAAGGCAGGTGCAGGAGCCCCTCGCCACATAAGCCCATGCTGCTCCAGGTCCTGCATGGACATTGAAGGGATTTGTTCCTCACTGAGAAATGTATCCACAGTCTCTGCTTCTGGGTCTCCCACTCGCAGGCAGGTAGAGGGTGACCCTGGGAATGAAATGGGCTAGACAGTTGACCGCAGCCACCCACCCCTGCCCACAGCTGGACCTACATTCAGCCTCAAGCCATTCTTTTCTGCAGAAAATACCCCACGAGAAAATACTCCTTTTTCCTACATTCACAAAATTGTTAAGTCATTTATGGATGGTTAGAAATACAAATAAAGAAAATTATACATATTTATATCACACATTTATAATTACATATTCATATGTGTGAATGTGTAAGAAAATAAAACTATATTTCTATTTTTGCCCTGATTTTTTGGCCATGAAATTATATTCTTTTGTCTATATTGAAAAACTATAACAGTAAAAAAATTGGACCAGTCCCAGGAAGTATATCAGTTGGGTGGCTTGATTTGACCCAGGAGAATCTCCTCTGAGGGACAAATTTTCATCTCCAACATCTCACCTGAGGAGCCCAGGAGTTTTCCTAGAACTTGAAGAAACCTCCCCAGTGACTGCCGGTAGTTGCTGATGGGCCAGGAAATCCCTTTGGCTTTGGCCCTACTGCACTCTGAGTCTGGAAAGGAAGAAGGAGCTGGAGGTAAAGGTCATGTGGCTCTCGGGGCTGCTGCGTGTCCCTTGTCACTTCCGTCCCTCTCTGCTACCTTCCCGCTGTACCCATCTACTGGCCTCTGGGGCCTCTGGGGAGTTGGAGCCCTGGCTGGCCCCCCCTGGGTACGAAGGCAGGACTCACCCTCAGCGCTCTTGGCTGTGATGTGGGAAGGGACTCTTTTTCAGAGAATGTTGGAGAATGAAATAAAAATGCTTGTGAAAGCATTTCATGGACTGTGCTAGGGAGTCACTCCTGGGACCCTACATTCTTTCCAGGGAACCTCAAAATTTCCCCTGAGCATCAGGCAGGGTGTGCTTAGCATGGGATGGCAGTCGAGGAAGGCACCACCTATTTTCCAGGACCTTCAAGGATTCCGCAAAAGAAAAACAGAGGAGCAGGTGCCTGAGAGTTGCCAGGGGGCTGGCCAGGGGGAGTCAGCTCAACCTGAGAGCAAATCCTATCGCAGCCTTAACATCTGTGACCTGGGGCAAGTTATTTAGCTTCTGTGACCCGGGAGCTTCTATCTCAGATATATGAAGGTGTTTATTTTGCAGAGTAGTTTGAAGGATTGGAGAGTTCCTCAAACATCTAGTATTAGCATCTCTCCCACACCGCCCCTTCACAAACCACTCACGTTTGCTGCAGGCTAAAAAGCGGTATTTGTGAAATCATGGGGTTGATAAGTGAGTCCTGATTTTTAACGTTTTCTAATGAGTATTAAGGCAAGTGAACAATAACTTTAAAAAACGTTAAAGTTCACTCAAGTCCACCTAGAAACATTTCCTGCGACTCCAGGGGTATAAATGCTACAGTTAAGGGAACACGGGAATTCTGGAGTAAAACAGTTAGCGTGTTCCTTGGCATGTGGTACAGTTCAAATACACACAATTTTGCTGTCTCTGCTGAGTAAGCACAGAGCAGGTGAGAGATTAGCTGCCTCAGAGCTGGGAGGAGGGAGGTTAGAAAGGCTTCCCAGCAGAGGTGACATCCAAACAGCCTCAAAGTCTGAACCTGCTGAGACCTCTCCTGGCAGCTGAAAGGGCTCCCGGTTAGGAGGAGGGCAACACAATTGCTTCCCAAGAAAAGAGGGGCAAGTCAGGAGCAAGACCATCATCTTAGAACATTCCAGGAATTGCCTGAACTGCAGCCAGGTGCCTGGGCGAGATGACCCTGAAGGGACAGATAAGCCCTCCCGGGGAGAGATAAAGCATGGTGTGCAAGCTCTCTGGGGAGCGCATGTGATCCTGATGACAGAAGCCCAGTGTCCTATTTACAGCCTAAGAAGGTCACAGAATTATTCACAGACAGGAGGTCCACAAGGCTGCTCAATCTATAAAACGCCTCTCATGCTTCCGGATCCTTCCCTTCACGGACTGGGGCTTCCAAACAAATCAGCCCACCTGGAACTATTACTTTATTTCAGCAGGAAGGAGCACTTTGCTTCTGCTAAGATCTTGTGCTGTGGGGAAGAGCGGTGGCTGAGAAGACTGTCAGGAGCAGGGACTCTGCCTCCAGGGCCTCCCTCCGACCCTCTGCACAACCGGGACCAGCAGCCTGTCAATCACCCCTTTTCTTTACCAATCAAACCTCGTCTCCTCTGCATCCACCAACCTGCAGCTCCTGCCCTTTCCACCTCTTGCCTCAATGCTTTGTTATGATCTGCAACCCAGCCTCCCGGCGGCCTACAGCTGGATCCCTAGACATAGCTAGCTACTGCATCCTCAGTAAATCCCTCGATCTTACTAAGTCTGTTTCTTCACCTGTCAAATGGAGAAAATGCATTCATCCATGTGTCTCATAGAAATAATGTGGAGTTCTGTAAGCTGAATGTAAGTGCACATTATACTGTGTGGCACATAGAAGTTTAATAAGGAGTTGGCATTCTTATTGTTATTGTTGTTGCTGCTGCTGCTGCTGTTATTATTGTAAGAGAAGCAGTGAGTTCCAAGCCAGTGCATGGGGCTCATAACCAACCCCAAGCAACTAAAATATAGAGGACATAGCTAAGGTCATTCTTCTAGATTGCTGATTGCAAAGGGAGCTCTGGACCCAATGGACAGGATATCAGGTTGGGAGTTGGTGGAGGCGGGACAGGCATCGTTCTAGAAGGAGATCATTGGGGCAGACATGGCCATCCTGAAGCTTTCCCACGTGGTAGGGGCTTCTCTTCCAGGCCTGAGTGGTGCTGGGCACGGGGTACGAGTGAGGTGGAAGTAGAAGACAGAGAGGTCTCAGATTTCCCACCCATCTGTCCTGGTCAGTGTTTCAGAACTCCTTCCAAATCATCAGGTTGATGTGGCGAGGTGAGACCCCATCAGGCTGGCCCCCGTCTGGTGCTTGGGATTGATGTTTCATGAAAGTGTTGTAGAGCAACCCCGATACAAAACGGGTTGCCTGACTGTGGGTCCTCACCCGCGCACTTAAAAGGACTTATCAATGCTCTACTGCAGGCACACGCGAAAGGTTCATAAAAGGTTTATTTACAAGGGAAGGGGAAATGAGGAAATGTACAGCTCAGGGAGAAAAGTGGGAGACGAAGTTTTAAATGAGTCCTACCCAATGCGCCGATCAGGAATCCCAAATGGCGCTGTGAGAGCTGGCCGCCAGCCAGGAGCCGTGAAGCCAGGAGGCGAGCGACAGCGAGCCAGCCCAAGGCCCACGTGTCTGGTTTTTATACCCAACCTGGCTGCCCAACTCCACCCTCAGGTCCCAGCCACCCTCCCTTTGGTGGTGATGGGATTTGTCTTTCCCAATGTCTTGATGGCTTTAGTCTGGAGTGGGGGTGGGGTCCACAAAGCCTGTATGGGGTTAGCTCAGGACATCATTTCCCCCTAACAAAAGGACTCGGGGATGTGTGAGAGTCCAGCGAGAGTCAGGGGCACTGAACATGTGGGTCAGAGGGCTTGGCACCCCACCAGGCTTTCCCTGTGCCTTGGGGTTCTTCCTCCTGCCTTCTCACACCCCTCCCCTCTCCAACAGACAGGGCCTACAGACTGACTTTAGTAAGGTAAGTGATGCTTTCCAATCCTCCGCCTCAGGTCCTGCTGATTACCATTCTACTGTCTGTTTCTACCAGCTTAGCTTTTGCAGATTCCACCTTTAATAGCACATGGTGTTTTTCTTTTCTCTGTCTGGCTTATCTCTCTTGGGGTGATTCCCTTAAGGTCCATCCATGTTAATGCAAATGGCAGGTTTTCTTTGTTGCTCATGCTGAATAATATGCCATTGTGTGTGCATATATACATTTATACTCGATCCCATCCTTCCACGGATGGACACTTAGGTTGTTTTCTTCAGGGCTTCTGTGAACAATGCTGCGATAATCATGGGACTGCAGACATCTTTTTGAGAACCTGTTTTCACTTCCTTTGAGATATATATAATATCCAGAAGTGGGGTTGCTAGGTCATATGGTATTTCTACTTTCTATTTTATTTTATTTTTAAAGATTTATGTATTTATGCATACAAGAACTGGGGACACGCCAGAAGTGTGGGGGGTGAAAAGATTCACCAGAGACAGAGTGGGGAGCAGAACAGATGGATTGACTGAAATACACTGCTGAGGGGAGGAGCAGGCATGTTAGGAGGGGTCTGCTGCACCATGTGGGTCACCTCCTTGGCCAGGGATCGGACTCATGCTGCAGTGGCTGCAGACAGCTTCATAGGTTGTGTCTTAACCCTCTGCGCCACCAGGGAGGCCCTATTTTCAATTTTAAACAGTACTTTCTTATATACTTGAAAGTTGCTAAGAAACTGGATCTTAAATGTTATCAATGCTAAAAAGAAATGATATCGTGTGACGTGATAGAGGTATTAACTAAGGCTATAGAAGCCTTATTGCAATATGTAAGTGCATCAAATCAACACATTGTACATTTTAAATATCACAGTATTATAGATTAATTATAATCCCAATTCTCTAAAAAGAGAAAATGAGGTTTTGATCGCATGTCTGGATGAGATGTAACTGAAAATAAAGATATAAGCTTGAAACACCTTTTTTTGTAAGTCTGAATTTAAGAAGAAACTGGGGTTCTCACAAGGAGCTGCTAATTAAATTGCGAGAAGGATGCAGCTCTGATTAATCACGCTGTACCTGCTGGTGGAAGATCCTCTGATATAACGAAGATCTGTCAGCTTCTTCCCACTCTCTGGAGCCACAGTTACACGCTCAGCTCTTTTGGGCTTGTTTTCATTTAATCCTCCAGGATACCCAAGTTGCACCCACTGGGGGCTTCTTGGTAGGAAGACAGGAAAAACATACTTGACCAGTTTTGCATTCACTTACTGCCTTCCATTTCTGCATGAGCACCGCGCCTCACCAGCCTTTACCACCTGTGGCTTTGCTCTCCGCCCAGGTTTTGGTGTCCACAAGTGGTAATATTATTGCAAACAAGCGCTTGAAAGTGTGAGCATGGGGCATGTGCGCCTGTGATTATGGACACCCGGGCAGGGAAGCCAGAAAGCATGGGGTGTGCACATACATCACTATGGACTCCTGGGCCAAGAGCGGGAGAGAGAAAGATGAACATGAGAGGAAAACAGAGAAGCCGGAGAGCGAGCAGGGAGATCGCAGGGGCTGGGAGGCTCGGATCCTGCCTGTCCCTCTGCCCCTCTGCCTCCCTGCCCTGCCTGCTGGTCTCCTTGTGTACCCGGTCCCTGTTTCCGCATTAAAGTCCCGTCAAATCTACCAAGGGCTCCACGATTCTTTTGCATTTGCTGAAATCAACCATGAGCCTGCCTGGCCTGGGGTGGTTGCTGCTATAGGGAGACAAAGCAAACACAAAAGAACAGTAGGACAAAAGTATGTAATCAATAGCTTCACTGCGTGGTAAAGACAATCCTAGGGAATTCCTCGGAGAGGACAGGCAAGGACGGCTGCAAGAAAGCAGCTCTGGCTTTGGTGTCAGACAAATGGAAGTTGAAAGCAGACCCCTCCCACCTGCACAGAAGGCATGCCCTTCCCTGCCTACCTGGCTTACCTGGGTGGCTCACCTTAGCCAAGGGGTGTGAGAGAAGGCGATGTGAATGAAGGCTTCACATATGTTTGTGCAGCTGGATTTTTGGTTCGTTTTGCCAGAAATTGTTGGAAAGGAAAAACCTTTCCCTCTATTTTATGTTTACTAGATGGGGGAACTGCAAAGTAACCTAACAAAAGACAGGTTTACAGGAGAAAAGGCCATCTTTATTAGTATTTTATACACATAGGAATTTATAGAAAAAGAAAAATTCAAAGAAGTAGTTTCAGGAGCTTATACAGCATTTTAATGAAAGAAAGGTGGATTTACAGGATGATGAACTGTGGGGAAATAACTAAGAAATATATGGGGGGAGTAATAGAAGATAAGGGTCATTTCAGTAATGCTTGTCTATGCAGACTCAACTACGTGCCGAAGTGGCACATTTTGGAGTGGCTTAGCCTGATCCCACTAAGATGAACATACCCCATCGCCCACCCCAGAAAAATAGAAGACACCTGGAGGACAACTGTGTCTACCCCACTGGCCAGGATCAAGCACAGCTGAGTCCAGCCTAGATCAGATGAGTCATCACTAACCCTCAGGCACCCAAGGGAGAGATAATTGCTTGTTACTCTGTATGAGTTCAACAATAACTCATTCATCTGTAAATTGGGAAAATGTGTATGTTACTTGCAGCGATATTATGAAACACAAACCCAGTGTGTTAGATTTCTCAGTGTCTGAGAACGCAACTGAGGTCCTACTGATATTGATACCCAACTCTCAATGATTCCTCTACTCAAGAAAACTCCCTTCCTGTAAGGGAGATGGTGAAAAAGTCCTCATGTTTTTCAATGTTGGCTTGTACCCCTCACCCTACTATGTTGGGTTGTACCCCAATCCCTCTTGATCCTTACAGTTTTGCCAAAGCACCGCACTGAACTCAGGTCTCACAACGTGCAACACATTAGGACAGAGGAATCTCTTCCCCTCTCCAACAAAAAGCTAATCCAAGCTGTGGTTGACAACTATGTTTGTATCCTGTATGTATCTATGGTCAGGTCTACTCCTGGCCTCTCTATTCTTTTCCTTAGAACCGTTTGTTTATTTCTATGTAACCTCCCCACAGTTTCTGTTATATCACAACATTTGGTAGGTCAATTTATTCTTTTTTCCAAACTTTCTTTAGCTGTGAACGAACTTATATTCTGCCATATGAATTTTAAAATCAGTTTGTTAGTTCCTCACAAATTCACAAACTGGGAGACTTTGATTTGGATACTACTGGACTTTAGATGAATTTTAAAGAAATAAACATTTATATTTGTTAGTCTGTCCACAAACATGGTATATTATTTATATCTTTTTTATGTAACTTTTAATTTTTCTTGGTAAAGATCTATGAGTTCACTGTAAGGTTTATTACTAGTCATGTAATAATTGCATTGGTATTACAAACATTTAATTTCAACATTTAATTAAATCATTTTAATAAAGGTAAGTATAGGGTAAGTGAAGGGGATCAGACTTTTTATGCCATTGTCCTCTGTGGCTATCACCTGCAGCCTTGATCGTGTTAACATAGAAGGCTCGTGGGTTTGGGGCACGTGTGCGTGATTGTGGCTACCTGAGCATGGGTGTGTGCGCATGTGCAAGTGTGCACACCTGTGCCAGGGAGGGAGGGGATAGAAAGGGTGATGCCCCCCCAGGGAAGGGGCCTCCAGTTGCTGTCTCCTCTGCTCACATTAAAACCTGTGAAAATGATGCCATCATGTCCAAAGTTCTCTTTCAAATCATTAGAACCGACGGTGAGCCTACCCGGCTGGAGACGGTTGCAAAACAGTAAGTCTTTACAATTGTTTTTATCTTTTTCTTGCTTGTTAATTTGCCCTTCTGGTTCTCGCTACTGAGAAGGATGGAAGGTCTCCCAATGACAAACACCAGAGGTGGGGGTAGGGGTGATTAATTAATCTTAAACAAAACAACCATGGAAGTTTCCAGGAGTTTAAGTGTGGTCAGAAAAGATTATCAGCCAGAGGTGGGGGCAGAGAGGATTACTGATCAACCCAACCTAACTCCAAGGTGATAATTTCCATAATAATTCCATCCAAGAACATGATAAAAGAATAATACCCTCTGGCAAAATGCAGTTCTGCCCATCTGTGTCTATGCAGGCATCTCTTCTTTTTCCCCCTTTCTTGATAAACTTTTTGTATACTGATGAATGGGAACATCTGAATTCTCTCTCAGAAGGACCCAAGAACCCCCCACACTGTACCCCATTACCTGAACTCCAACAATTGTTTGATCTGCCCTTCCAGTTCCCACCATTGAGCCCATCCACTCCTTGATTGCTAATCTGCCCTTCCAGTTTTTTGTTATTGAGTGCACCTGCCAATTCTACATTTTAAAAAATTTTTAAAAGACTTATTTATGCATACAAGAGCTGGGTGCAGGCTAGAGGTGTGGAGAGGTGAGAGGATTCACCAGAGACAGAGTGGGGAGCAGAACAGGCAGATCTACTGAAACATGCTGCTGAGGGGAGCAGCAGGAGAGACAGGAGAGGTCTGCTGCGCCATGTGGGTAGCTCCCTGGTGGGGGATGGAACTCATGCTGCAGTGGCTGTGGATAGCTTCATAGTGCTGCGACTTAACCCCTTGCACCACCAGGGAGACCGTGGGAATTGAGTTTAGAACTTGAGATGAGAAGAGGAAGGTTGAGCCTTGAGAAGGTGTGGGCTGGACCCAGACTATGCAATTGAAATCTCTCAGGAGAACTGGAGTCAAAGCTGAGATGCTTGGCTTATCAATTTCACCTGAGGTGGTTGGGGGCCTGGAAACACTCAAGAACCTACCAGTATCATCTGGAGATGAGAGAGATTACCACTGTTTGGGGAACTATCTCGTATCAGGGTGCCTCCCACGGTCCATATTTTGTACCAGCCTCTCCTGGAGGCTTAGATTGCTGTTATGGGTAAAACTGTGCCTCCTAAAATTCCTGTATTGAAGTCTTAACACCCAGGACCTCAGAATGAGATTGTATTTGGAAAGTCTTTAAAGAGATAACGATGAGTCATTAGAGTGGACTCTGACCCAATGGAGATCAGTGTCCTCTTAGATTAGGACACATGCAGAGGGGAATCCATGAAGACACTAGAGCAGGCATCTACAGGCCGCGGAGAAAGGGCCTGGGAAAACCAGCCTTGCTCATATCTTGATTTTGGCTTCCAGTCTCCAAAGCTGTGAGGAACTGTCTATCATTTAAGTCTCTCAGTATGTGGTACTCTGTCACGGTTGCCCTCGCAGACTAATGCAGTGGTGTTTATTCGAAACAGACCCCAGTGTGTAGAGCTGAGTGTGAAGCTTTACAGGAGCAACGTTAGGAAATTCTGCATGAAAGCATTCCTAGGCAGATGGGGCAAGAGCAGAACCACAAGGATGCACCAGAGTGGAGTTGGGAGCTGGTGGCCTGTCTGAGTTGAGTTGTCTCTATTGTGGCAAGGGACTTTTGCTTTCTTATGTTGGTCATTCTCGAGGTGAAGGGGGCAGTGCTTTGCCTCTCATACTCCAGAGCATTTGGCAATTTCTGGATACACCTTTGGCTGTCACGGCTGGGGGAAGGGCAGGGGCAGGATGTGCTTGTGCTAATGGTGCCTGGTGGGGAGAAACCAGCGAAGATGCTGCTACTTTTCCTCCAACACATGGGACAGCCTCCCATACAAAGAACCTTCTGGCCTCAGTGGTACACAGCATGAGATAAAGCCTGCCCCACATCAAAGAGCCACTGACCATGACCTGCTCTTGCAAGGATGTAACTGGACAAATTCCTGCAGCTGATGGCAATTCTCCCTGAAGGAGAGCATGAGCCATCAGCTGCCAAATCCTCTGCTTGGCTCCTCAGAGTTCTCTGTCTAATACAAACAACAATCTGCCATGTTTGGGGCTGGGACCTGGAAGTTTCGCATATTATCTCATTTAAGCCTCAAGAAAACCTTTGAGATGGAGTTTATGACCTCAGTTCTACAAAACAGTGATCTGAGACTCAGAGAGGGCCAATCACTCACCCAAGGTCACAGAGCTAATAAGTCACAGAACAGAATATGAACCCCAAACTGCAGGATGCCAAAGTCTGGCTCTTCCACATGGAGACAGGACAACCTCTGCTAATATAAAAGTAGCACACAGAGCACAGCTAGGAGGAGAGAACAGACCTCAGACTTAACTCAGAGTTGATGTAAAACCCAGCCTCCGAGCAGCCAGAAGCCCTGAAACAATGTCTAATGCTGAACAAACATGATGGGACAGACCCAGAGGCTGGGAGTCCTGGCAGGGGCGCCTACCTTTATTTCCACAAGTGTTAATGGGTTACCAGAATGTAAAGAGTATGTATTTAACACCTCAGGAGAATGCATGGACCTTAGGACTTTGTATGATAAGGGTAATAAGTCTGAAAAAGGAGGAAAAACGCCACTTCCCAGAAGTCAATGGTATAAAAATAATTTTTATTTACTACTGTAAATAAAGTAGTGCAAAGAGTAGTTTAGATCCACAATATTGCATTACTGATTTATTTACTATCTTAGCAGCATACAGATGCTCTGCTCTCGCTCGCTCTTTCTCTCTCTCTTGCATGTGCACACACACACGCACACGCACACGCACGCACACCCCTACACAGACCCAGGCAGGCATAAGGGGTAGGGTGAGACTATGAGCTAAAGGCTTGTTTCCTGCATATTCTACTACTGCCAGTCTATTCTAATGGGTAATTCATGGAGGAGACTACACTTAAATACTAAGAATTTTCTAAATGTTATTTTATGGATTGCAATTGAAAAAGTAAATGATATCCAACAATGTCATTAAAGGATTTGGAAGCACGACAACCCGAGGAAAATTCAAGGAGAAAAATGTAAACCCATTTACAAAGCCATCCCCTCCCTGCTTTTCCAGCCACAACCCATTTATTTCAAGGTACCCCATTATTGCTGGGGCTTGGAAATCACACAGAAATCCTTCAACAGGACATCAAGCAGCAACACTGTGGCCGACACATGTACTGAAATGTTACCTAACTTGTAAAGAAGTCACAATTTTTGCTCTTTAATAAAAGGAATGAACAAGGGGCGAAGATTCTTAAAATGCAATTCTGTGTATGAGGATCCGGAGGAGCCACACACAGCCCCACCAGGTACCGCCTCGGCAGCAATCCAGGGAACCTCCCGACAGGTACACCCGTTTGATCAGGGGTGCCTTCTACTTGTTTGGTAACCTCTGGTGTGCCCACCATCTGCTCTGTGTACTTCCTTGTAATTAGATTTAAAAAAAAAACCAAAAAGACACCAAGTGCAAATTCGTATCCAGTTGACAAGACATTTAAGGTGTTTATCAGTGTAATGCCCAGCTTTCCAATACCAGCTGCTGACAGGCTGCTCTGTCATCTGGAGAGACCCGGAGTGCACAGTTCACCCCCGTGGCTCCGAGCTGTTGGTGACCATAGGCTGGTCCTGAGCGGAGGCATCTGCAGCTGGAGGCACAGCTGGAGGCACAGCTGGACTTGCCGTGGCAGGGGTGGGGTCTGGAGAGGCTGGGGCTGGAGTGGAAGGGGAACCGCTGGCTGCAAAGATACAGGCACAACAGTCGTTCAAAACAGCATGTGCAGGACAAACCACCACACTGAGACCCCAGCAAGCCAGGAGAGCTTCGTCTAGTCTGGTGTCCCCAACACTAGCCAGTTAAGAGACTTGGGGCCTATTGTCTATGTTCTTTGGATTTCAGTGTCCCTACCTAGAAATTACAGGTTGGAGAACATGTACAAATAATGGCTAACATCTGGAACTTCTAGGGAAGTTTATAATTAAAAACAAAAACAAAAACCAAAAAACACTAATCTCTGCTCTGTGTTTTCTGTGATCTTAACCTCTTTTTTTCCCCCTGGCTTCGAGGCAATGCAAGCTATGAACTATACTGATCAATTAGAATGGACTGTTGGATCTGTTCACATCTTATTCCATTTGGATGATGCACCAAATTTGATTTATTTCATATATAATTATCTGATTTATTTTAATAAAGGTGCTTGCATTTTGGAAAACAATTACTAGCTTTAATTATTTATCGATCTACCTTTAGTAGGAGGTCGGACACCATAAATGCTAGGGAGGCTTTTAAAGTTTTATAGTTCGTGTCAGTGGTTTTTATTTTTATTTATTTATTTATTTTTTTAATTTATTTTTAAGCATTTATTTATTTATTTATACAAGCACTGGGTAGAGTCAGAAGCACGGGAGGGTGAGAGAATTCACCAGAGCCAGAGCGGGGAGCAGAGCAGGCAGAAGGACCGAAGTACACTGCTGAGGGGAGCAGCGGGTGGCAGGAGAGGTCTGCGCGCCATGCGGGACCCTCCTCTGGTGGCCGGGGAGCAGCCAGGGATCGAACCGGTGCTGCAGAGGCTGCAGGCACGTGTCAGTGGTTTTTAAGTGGGGGCAATTTTGCCTTCCCGGGGACAGCTGACAATGTTGGCAGACGTTATTGGTTGCTACAATTGCAAGGACAGTGTTCTACCCGCATATAGTGGTAGGGTCTAGGGATACTGCTAAGCACCCTTCAGTGCACAGAACTCCCCCCTGCAACAAAGGATGACCCAGCGCCACATGTCATGGTGCTGAGGTTGGCATCCTCTGCCCTATGCTGGGACTGGAAGGTGTCCTGTTAATAGGAGCATAGCCTCTGGAAACTCTACTCTGTCCTTTATCAGTTATGTGAGCTTGGACAAATCCCCCATCCTCCTACTGCCTCTAAAAACTGGGGAAAGTCAAAGTATCTGTGTCTTCTTGTTGCAAGGATTAAACTAATGCATATAAAATGCTTACAACAGTGTCTGGCAAGCATAGGTCTCAACAAATGTTAGCTATCATACTAGTGACCTGGCTTGCCATAGAGAAGTGTTCGTTGTTATTAACTGATTATTGATTTCAGGTGCAGGGCTATAGGACTGATGAAAGAGTTAGTGCATTTATTTCCTGGATGCCTACAGTTTTCTGAGCTCCCAGTAGCCCCTGTTTCTATGGAAACAGCAGAAACTTTGAAGCCAGCAAGGCCAGGAATGACATGACTCTGATATTTATCAGCTGAGTGATCCTGGGAAAGTTAAACTTTCTGAGCTGTAGTTTCTTCGTTGTTAAAATGGGGGTAGCAGACTGCAGGGATATGTGACTTATGGCCAATTCAGTGGCCTTAGTTTGTGTGAAGAATCACTGATTTGTCTTTAAATAGGATCTTAATTAAGCTCAACAATCCATGAGTCTTACACCATTTTCATTAGGTGTAAGCATTTTTAAAGTTTCCCAAATGCCCATCTTGAAATGTATCAACTTTAAGAAGATCCCACCACATGTTGATATTCTGACTTCTAGACCAACTCTTCAAGAGTTTCATCTCCAAGCACCCATGGTCATGTCCAAGGGGCCATTCTAAGAACTGTCTCTGGCTTGGCTAGACATGTAAAGGAATTCTTCTACAGCCCCCTTCCTATCTACCAAAGATCTTGTGGATCCAGAGTCTGAAAGAATTGGACAGTGAGGGCGTGGTGGGGCCAGGGAGATGCATGACAACGTGATAGCTCTAGGTTAAAGCCATCACCCTGGCGGGGGGTCTAACATGGCGGAAGCAGGTCCAGAGATGTGGTATAAAACCACTGTTAGAGCCAGGAAGCCTGGTCTGAGCAAACCTCCTGGTCGGCCACTAAACCAGGTGAATTTACTGTAGGTAATGAAGGGTCCACATTCCATTTCCCAAATGCCTCCAACACAAAGGCCTCATTTTCTCCTCTCTGCATTGAAGGATTTAGATCGGAGGGTATCCAAGACTCCTTAGGTCCTAAGATTTACTTTGCTGATGATTTCTGAGGAAGTTAATGAAGGCATGTATTTTTCCTTTTCCAGCTCAGGGAAATGTTTAAATCACCATGGTAACAAGATAATCAGCAATCAGTTTTCTGATTAAAACCCAAAAAGGGCCAACGTGTAAATGGAGAAAGATGCATAATTAGCATTGCCACAATTTAAATCTTCTAAAAGCATGGTAAAAATGTTGGTTGTTTCTACAGTAAGTTTGTTATTATCTATGTGAGCCCCCTCATTCTGCTGGGGGTGTGCAATCACTGGACAGCCCCCCCGCCCCATGGCCCATCCTAATTTCAAAGTGGCCTCTTTGTCTCTGCTCACCTGGAATTTGTGCTAATTTGATTACTGGGCTAGAATCAAGATAACCAGGAAATGAGAGTGCTGTTTTAAAAATTACAGAGTAGATTCTGGAGCCAAGTAGAAGTGATTTTTGGATTACTGGCTACTTGGGGGACCATTTTCTGTACATTAGTGAGAATAATCAAGAGCTGGCCCTGAGTGGGGTAGGCCAGGGCTGCAGCTGCAGCTGGAGGCCAAACGTGGCTGCTGTGTGCTTTTGCATTGCTTGCCATGCAGGAAGGGTTTATACATTTTCAAATGGCAGCACAAAAATCAAGATTAATATTTCAGGACCAGTGAGAAACATGAACTTCAAATAGTCATATCCATAGAAAAACTATATTGGACACCAGCCCCTAGCCATTTGCCTTCAGGTGTTGTCAATGGCTGCCATGACAGCTAAGTAGTAGTGACAGAGACAGCCCTCAAAGGCCAAAATGTTTATTCTCTGGCCCTTGACAGAAAGTCTGCCAACTCCACTTGTGGCCCATGTTAGCAAATACATCTGCTTGCCAGCTGACCAGATGGGAGCATAAGAAAGAGAAGAATATGAGGGGCTAGATGGGGGTGATCTTGAGGTAGTAGAATGTTTGCAGAGAAGGGGTACAAGGAGGGGAGCAAAGGAGAGATTATATGCTATGAATAAACCTAGCCAACTTTATGTGGGTCTCTGGATCTAGCAGGGCCCAGAACAAGACTAAGGTTCAAGTCCTTTAAATAAATATATATATTTTTAGATTTATTTATTTATTTATACAAGCATTGGGTACAGTCAGAAGCGCAGAAGGGTGAGAGAATTCACCAGCGCCAGAGCGGGGAGCAGAGCAGGCAGAAGGACCAAAGTACACTGCTGAGGGGAGCAGCGGGCGGCAGGAGAGGTCTGCGCGCCATGTGGGACCCTCCTCTGGTGGCCGGGGATCGAACGGGCACTGCAGAGGCTGCGGGCAGCTTTGCAACCCAGTGCTCAACCGCTGCGCCACTGGGGAGGCCCCCTTTAAATATTCTTAAGAGCAGAGGTACTGGGAGGCATGGAGGGGAATGAGATAGGAGAAAAGTCACATCTCATGAAATCGCTCTGACTTTATGGCTACTGCTTTCTTACATGAGTACCATTGTGACATTTTGCTGTAATTTTAGTAGAAACCTCATTAACTGGAAATGTAGAGGACAGGAAAAGAGTAGGAAAAGGTTTAATTAATCTCTTCATATCATCATACTGTTTTTAAAATACCCCTAGGCTAACCACTGGGGCGGCAAAGATGAATTGTCTTACATTATGAATATTCTGAATAGGCTGGGTTTAAAGGTTACCTATGATACTACCAAGGCCATTCTGCAGGTCTTGACCAATGCTGGCACATTTTATTTTGACATGAGGTTTACACTAATTCTGGTAAGGCAAGGCTCTTGGGTTTTGTTTTGTTTTTTTTCTCCCTTGATATTATTTTTTAAAACATCTTTGTTTTTGACAAGATAGAATTTCTTCTCTCAGGTGCAGTCACAATAAGTACCAGCGGTTCTCATCACACCCCATCTACCTCTCCTCTACTTCCTCCCCCAGCTTCCTTTGAAAGGGTAATTTACATTTTCTCCTCTATTCTTCCTTCCAGCAGCCAGGCAGGTTCCATGCTTTTTTGTCCGAGGAGAGATTTGTGGCGGGGCAGAAATGGAGAGCATTCTAGGCAGGCTTTGCTTGGTTTGTTGTTTTTGTTTTTTTTTTAAATCTCAGTCCATTAAGGCAATTATGCTTGGCATACCCGATAGGGAGGAGAGAGGGAGAATGCTTTAGAGATGCAATGAGGCAAGGGAAGATGGTTTTTGGAGTCTTGGAAAGTGGCTGGGCCCAGCTGTGGGCTCTACCAGCAGCTTGGGAGAAAAAAGGCTAATGGTGCCCAGCTTTGGCAAAGAGGATGGAACCTCTAGTGACCCAGGAGATGCAAGGCCAATGGACTTTGAGGGGCAGTGTAGGTCCAGGCAATGTGTGATCTGCTGTCACACTAGTGCCACCCCAGACCCAAAGAACTTTGCACTCCTCCGGGAAGCATCAGCTTCAAGACAGACTTAGCTGACAAGCAGAATATGACCTAAGAGTCAAAAACAAGTCCCCTTGAAGGAAATAAAGACGTGCCATATTTTTTGTGCATTTGTTTTGGTACTCTTGATAGATTAATCAATGTCTTTGCTTAGATGTTTAAAAAAAAGGCTTTATGCTTTAGAAAGAGTCTGAAAGCATGCAAATAATTGTATCTGTTACTTGCTAAGGTAAAGTAGGCTTTGCTACTAGCCACGCCGCTACTTGGTGTCAGCATGCCTTAATTGCAGGTAAAGTGCCCCAGACACATCACTCCTTGGAAGCTACCAGCTAACAACTGTTGAGTTCCAAGTACTTTGCACTCTGTTATCTTATTTAGTTTTCTCAACTACAACACATGTCCAGTATATGCAGAAGGGGAAAGTGAGGCACAGAAAGCTCCCCTCTTGCCCAAGGTCACATAGCAGCAGGGCTAGAATCTAAGCAACCTGACTCCCAAGTCTGTGTGTGCTATTAACTATTGTCCTGCACTGCTAGCCTTCTAAATGTGGGACAATTTAATGTGGCAAATGCGATGAAGTGTGGACTATATATCTCAGAGCATATAAACTCGGGAGGAAAATGAAGGTAGTCAAAGCTGAATGCAAAATGGATGGACAGCTCAATTTAAAGGTCTGGCCACAAATCATTAACTTTTAAAAACAACTGGCTGGAGAAATGCAAATCATGACAAAGACCCCTAATTTACAGCAACGATCCTCACATGCTATTTAAGAGCTAACTCTGAAAGCCAGTTCTTCTCAGCACTGTCAGTAATCACGAGAGTTCATTGCTGCAATCACTTCACAGCCCAGGCTGCTCCCAGCATCTACTGTATCGGTCTCTCCTCCCAGGGGCAGGTCACAGTGGTGGGAGCAACCCCAGGCCCTGCGGGGGCCACGTCTCCACTTACATGCCTGTCATCTTCCCCCACCGCCCAGTGGCTGATGGAATACTTGCTTATTTCAAAGTTATTGACAAATATGCACTTCTGTTGAAGATTTTAAAAGATGAAAATAATTTACTGCATCGTTTTAACTTGACACCAGTATTCTAACAAGGCTGGGAGGTACCCTGAAGGGAGGAGATACTTTGAAAATAATGTGGAGATTTCATTTCTACTTCTAAACGCTTAGAACTCAAAGTGTGGCCTGAGGAGCAGCAGCTTGGACATCATCCCCAAGCTTGCTACAAATGCAGAATCTCAGGTTCCACCCTAGATGTACTGAGTCAGAATCTGCATTTTACAAGATTTCCACACACTAAAATTAAGTAACAAGGGGTAAGAATTTACGTATGGAAATGTTATTTTTATTATAATTAGTTTGTGTTTCTCCTTTACATTGTTGTTAGGGCATTATTTTTAAAAATCTGTGTGCAACAAGGTTCGTTAGCATTGCAGGGGTGCAACATTTGTGCAAGAAAATATGACTTTTCTTGTAAGGGGGCTGGGGTTGGTAACTGCTGTTTGAAAGTATGACAAGCCTGAAATTGTGCTGTCCTATATCCTGTCCTGGACTTGGTGATTTGGGGACAGGCCATTTCATCACTTTGGCCTCAATTTCTTCCTCTGTAAAATGAAGACCAGAGAATTAAATGTTTAAGATCCCACCCAGACATCTCCAAGACTAGTCAAATGGGAAGGAGGTATGTAGAGGAAGAATCAAGGGAAAGAATTTGAAAAAAATGAAGAAATTAAGCAAAAAAATAAAAAAAGAATGGACAAATATATGAAAGAGCAGGAGGGACAGAGAGAAACAATGTGGAGAGACTGATAATGAAGACACCAAGGAAGGAAAAAGACAACTTCTGATAAAAGCAATTCCACCAGCCCATGAATTTTCATGGCTACCAGCTGGCATAAAATCATAAAGACAATTTTCAGCTCCTCTAACGGGATTGCATTTGTAATAATCATAACAATATTTCTACAGAGTAAAAATGACAAAGATAATTTGAAATGGAAAACACTGACAAGATGCAAAATAAATGTGCTATACCTGGCAACAAATTTAGGGACGGGACAGGATTTGCATAAGGAAAATTTATAACCTGGCATACTCCAGGGCATCAAACCTGGAAGGGCTTTTGATGATTCCTTGTTAACCTCCTCAGGTAAATCGGAGGAAATGATTCCGAATTAGCCTCTCGAAACTGAACTCCTTCACCACGTGGACTCAGTGGTAAAATATACTCCTTTCGCCTTTCATTATGTGCTACACAAATAATAGTCGTGCTAATGTCCAAATGCCATGTCCAGTCCTAATTTATCCATTTGCAAATGTCCCTGCTGGTCTTCACGAATGATTACACCCTTTGGTCACAATCCAATATAGTGGAAAATTAGAATTCTCCACTGAGGGAAGTTTGCAAATTTGAGCACCTAAGAGAGGGAGACATCACAAATGACAGCACAAAGGCCTTCCTTTGACTCAGCTTCTGGTCTAACAGGGGAGATAAATCTTGAACCCAGGCAAGATTTATCGAGAGGGCTTCATAAGTCAGATGAACAGAATAGCTAAGATTTAACTGCAGTCGTCATTTTGGGAGGTGTTGCACATGTGGTCTGTCGCTGAGCCTTCCTAACAGTCCCGGGAAGTAGGTCCTATTCTAATCTCCTTTTATTGATGAGAAACTAAGAGATCAGAGGGGGAATTAACTGGCCACATGTCACAGAGCTAATGAGAAGTTAAGCCTAGACTCCAAGCCCGGAGAGAGAGAAAGCACGGGGGTGCCCAGCCCCTTACTGCCGGCCAGACAAGAGCACGGAAGGTAAACAGGGACCAGTGAAAATCACACCAGACAAAGCGCTGGCTCCACCATCCCCCTCGGCCTGCTGAGTCCACATGGCTGGGTATTTTTATTCATCGTGAGGGCTTGTTTATCCTTCCATACATTTGGCTGCCTAACTAGGATAAACGGGAAGATTTCATGCTGGCAGGGACACCAGAGCTGGTGCTTAAGGCACTCGGAGGGAGACTTTTGATAGATGTATTTCCAATGGGAAAAGACATTTTAGTTCTATTTCTGAAACTTTTTATTAAAAACATCCTTGCTTACTTTGAAAAATAGGACAACCACTCTGTGATCTTCCACTGGTCAGATTCTGAGTACCCCTAGGGAGCTCCTCTCCCCACAACTCCAGGATTATCCCTCCTGATGGAAGGAAATAGCATGGCGAAGGCCATGGTAGGGGAGCGTGTTGTTGTCTTTCTTGCAGGAAAGAGCATCACCATTTTTATATTGCCCTAGCCTTGCACAAATCTTTACCTGAGAGAGACTGGAAATACTGCACAATCCCGGCGATCAAGATGGACAGCAGGAAGGTCCCCAGAAAGTAGATCTGCAAACATCCCAAGCACATGACATATGACTGGTCCAGGTCAGGAACGGGGGTGGGAGGGGTGCGAGGAGACTCTACCTACCAGGGCAGAGTGGAGGAGGGCACCCCAGATGAGCCGGAGATGCAGGTAGAGCCAGGCCAGGGAGCAGGGGCTGAAGGACTCCTCGCTACTGTGGTTCCAGCACCTGCAGGCAAGAAGCACAGGCAACTGGCATGTGGGCAGTTTGCTGCCATTACCCACAACTGGACTCAGATCCTCAAACCCACTTTGAGACTGCTGGTTGGGAAAAAACGCACTTTTGTGATGAGAGACATTTAAGAAACAAGGTGTGTTCCAAAGAGGTTGGCCCTGCCCTGTCTTCTGTGATCCTGGCAGGACTCTCAGAAAAAGGTCAGTCCTGCTCTTACCAAAAAGCCCAGAGGCCAAGGAAGACCCCGAAGCGTGGAGCCACCAGCAGCACTTCTGTCTGAGTGTCTGTCCAAAGTCCAGACGTCAGCACATCTCCCTGTCTCCCAGAAAACACAGTCTCATCAGGCCCACTATTTTTTCCCCTCATGGAAATTTTTGGTCAGCACTTTATCTTCAGATCAAGCACATACTGCTTATTAAGTCTCATCAAGAAAAAGAAGTTTGGGACCAGCCAGGTGTTGGCTCATGGAAACAAATCACGAGCCTTTTTTTTTTGGACAACTGACATCACAGAGGAGTAAGGTTAACTTGAAACCAAGAGCTGGGAGCCCCCAGACTCCATAGTGTTAACGAGTAACTCACCTTTCGTACAGCTCCTGGAGGATGGAGATGTTATCAGGATGGGCAGTTGGGTCAATTTCCAAGAAATCCAAAATGTGAGGTGGGATCATAGCACCTTCCTCAATGAGCAGGGCCAGGTTGAAAAAACCCTGAAGGCAAGACACAGCCCAAACTCATCAGCAACTGATATAAACCCAGACACACTCCCGTCCTCGGAATGTAAACTTTTACAACCTCAAGACTTTTTCAGTTCTGAGAGCCAGATGGTTTTGTCATCGTCATTGATGAATGGTTTCCCTAAATATATGCATCTGAGAAATTTATTTGCAGGAGAACCAGGAGGTTTTCAGAGGATGCAGCGTCCCATCTGCTCAGGAGCCAGTCAACCAGGGGCTCTGTCCTTTCCTGTTTACTCCCTCGGACAGAAATCGCTGGAAAACATGTCCTTGGAATGTCGACTAAACCACCGTGCAGAGACGAAGGCAATGTTCCTTACTTGCAGACTCTGCCTGGGGTCCCAGCGGCATGTCAGAAGGCTAACCAATGGTATTGGGGGCTGTAGGTATCAAGACGCACAGAGCAGCGTCTGCGTGCGTGGCTGGTGCCCCAGGTCAGTACGTTCCTCTTGGCATGGGAACGTAAACTTTTACATGTGGTGTGTCTCCCTACCTGTCCTCACACTTCTTGTTCTGGACCCTCATGAGCCCGAGAGTAGAGGTGCTCTGGGAAGGATGGGCACGGACATCAGCTGGAGAAAAGCTCTCTGCCCAGCACGGGCTGAGCAAGTGGCCAGTCCATGAAATAAGCAAACAACGATCTGGCCCTTACCATGAAGCTTTGCCAATTAGCAGGATCGTTGCCTTCCAAGGAATTTATAGCCATGTTTTAGTGACTTATATCCTCCCAGTAACCTTTCAGTTGCCACTAACAAGCTAAATGAAAATGACCATCTTCCAGGTTAGCTACACATCTCACAACCATCCAGTGCAATAACCATGATCAAAATAGCAGCAGCTAACGTCTTCCAAGTGCTTGCTATATGTGAGGCATTGTTCTGTTTTACATATAGTCCCTTAACCCTCCTAATGACAAATTGAGAGAGGTGCTATTATGCACCCCATTTTATAGATGAGGAAATAGAAAGAGAGTGGCCAAGGAGCTTGTCCAATGTCACACAGCTGGAAAGAGGTAGTGCTGGGATTCAAATGCATGCAGAGTTCAGAGGTTGAGTTTCAAATTTTAACCTCTACCAAGCTGCCAAATAACCTCTGAATAAATCAAAGTGTAAAAGTATCTTTAAGATGCACACACACGAAAGCAGAAAATAGAATTTCTCCATTCTTTGAAAGGAAGGTACTCTTAGAACTTGAGATATTAGAAGAAAATGACTTTACAGAATGTGAAAGTCTCTGAATGGAAAAATAACAAGATTAAAATTAATGGGAAAATAGAGTAGGGGAATATTTATATGCAATATGATAGTTTAAAACTCATTATCTACAGGGCAAATGTATAAAGAACTAATTCAGATTTAAATTAAACTATCAACACTCCAACAGATAAGCAGGCAAAGAATAAGACTAGAGAACCACATAAAAATATGAAGCGTGAATTATAGACAAGTCCATGTAAAAATGTCCATCCTCACCAATAATTAAATCTATTTTAAAACAATAAGTATCAACTCAAAATTATTCAATTAGCAAAATTAAGTCATGAAAATATCCAGTACTTAGAGATTTCAGTTATCTCCCCATACTCAGCTATCACTCATGTAGGATTAATTAGAAAGTCCTTCCAGAAAACACACAGGCAAACAATTGCTGTGCAGCTCTACAACCATTTTTTTGACTCAGTAATACCATCCTGTAGATTATAAAGAAGTTACGGAAGTGGAGAGAAAAGATGGAATATGAAAATGCCATTATAGTACTAACTATAATTACAACACAGGAAGAAAAACCCTTCAAGACTTCTTGAACGAGTATCCCATGAGGCTAAGAATATTGGCTCTCTCTTTGTCTTAGGTACCAACCACTAAGCAGGCCCTGAGACCTGGCAGGGTTGGATGAATACGTGCCAAATCAATGAGTAAATCAGCAAACAAACATTCACCCATAAGATAAAGTTTACTAAATCACCACCCATCATCTGAACAGGGGTGGGGGCAGAGGTTAAAGGTCATCATTAGGAGACCTAATGGTCATCATGAAACAGAATGTACATATTTCTACAGTGTGTGAGAGGGACGGATTTTATTTTTTTATAATCAATTTACAGCTTTTAAAGTGGCACATGCACTATAACTATCATGCAGCTAAATCCCTTTTGTCAAGTTAACACCCTTACTTTTGTGAGTGGGAAGGAACAAGACAGGAAGGGGAACAGCCTCTGCCAGAAAACTGGGGGAGCCTTCTTTGATTATTTTTTCTTGTAAAATGATCCTTGCATGTCTTTTCCAACATTGCCTTTCCAAAAAATAAAAATTAGAATAAAAAGTCCCGAGATCAATTTTGAGCGAAAACAAAATTTAAAGGAGTTTGACTCTAGCAAATGTTTACATATCAACTCTAACTTCATAGCAGAAGAAATAATAAAAATAGATCATGTGCAGTGAACTCAGGGCTGTGCTCCATGTTTTACATCGAACCTCTCATTTAATCCTCGTAACCTGTGTGGTAGAGCCTATGACCATGCTGGTTTACAAATAAGAAAGTGAAGACTCTGATGTGGTGACCCACCAGGTATAAATAGTTATAAAGTGATAGAGTTCTGGGTTCCAGCCCAGGTAAAGGACCACTCTGCTGGACCTACTGCCGCTAGAGAAGAGACTAAACTAGGGAAGAGTTTCCAAAACGTTTTGCCTAAGAATAAAAATTCCAACTTCCTGAAAAATGACCCAAGAGCCTGACAGGGGAATTCCCATTAACAAATGTAGTAGGAATGAGAGAAATCGAGGATGAGATTAATCACCACTGTAGTCACATTACAGTAATCACTGCAGACGAGCGCTGCGGAACGACACAGAATAGACAAAAGCTTGAGTAGCAGGGTAGCTGCATAGTTACAAACTGTCTCCCCAAGATATCTATGAGTTAGAAAGTGAAAAATGTTTATAGGGAGAAACCATCCTAACCCGGTAAGGGGTCAGCCTCACCTGCAGTAAGACATACTGACAACACGTATGTCTCATGGGACCCACCGAGCAGGACACATTGCTTCTGGGCTATCCTTGCTCAAAGATCACAATCTCAATCTCTTCATGAGGAAACAGAAGATACACTCAAATCAAGGGACATTCTACAACCAGCACAACAGTATCAGTGTCACACAAATCAAGGGAAGACAAGAACTGTCCTAGAGTCAAGAGGATGAAAGAATATGAAAACCAATACATTGTGGAGTCCTGAAAGAGAGCTGACAAGTGACACCCAAAACAAGCTTGAAGTGTACTTGAGGGAGCTGACTCAAAGCTGACCTCTTAGTTTGATAACAGGATTGCGGTTAAGCAAGACATTCACGTAGGGGAGGGCACCATGCCTACTACAGGAATCTGCACAGAGACGTACAGCACAGGCCACGTGCAAACACATGTGATTCACAACCTATTCTTGAGACCCAGTTCTGCCCCAGTGACGTGAGAAGAAATGTTGGACACTGGCACCATCAGAGAACGAAGACATTTTCTCAGGCCCAGGAAAACAGGGTGAACCTGTGTCAAGATGACTAAGAAGGGGGCCACAAACCCTGGGGCCATGAGGAAGAGGAGGGCACCAGCCGTGAAGGGCTGCTGTGTGAGGGATTCACTTATGGGTGACTGTCTAGTTCATTAAAGAAATGTTCACTAGAAAAGAGTCAGCTTGAGATAAATGTTACAATGGGTTTTGAGGTAAAATACCCTCATTCTCTCAGCTCACTGGTTTTCTGACAAAGTATGTATTATAGAATCAATTCCTATCTCTGTTCAATTGGCTCCTGGCAATGACAGGCAGCCTGACCCTGGCATTTTCTGGTCATAGAACCTCAAGGAAGGATATAAAACAACTCTCTGTACTCTTCCTACCACTTTCCTAGAAATCAAAAATATTCCAAAATAAGAAATTTCAACATGAAAGTCACTGAAAGCAAACTCCTGCCACAGAAGTGTTGGTCCATGTGTTCAAGCAAACCTTTTCTCATTGGACAACACCTTCCAGTTCTTGAGTTTCCACTTGATGGAATCTGGCAGAAACAGATCCTGGGCTTGTTTCACTTACTACCTGATGGTTTGACCTTGAGCAACTTACTACCTAGAGGTAGTCTTGGTATCCTCCATTATAATGTGGGTATGACCACCCCACCCCCACAAGAGTGTTGTGAGAATGCTACAGGGAACACAAAGTGGCCACCAAGGGTTGTCAGGATGATTAGTGTCCTCAGAGAGTCGTTGTGAGGGGCACATGTGACTGGGAAGTCTGTCTAGATAAGGGTGCCTGTGAGGACCCAGGACTGTGTTCCCTCACCAGAGGGTGCCACTGAGTTCCTCTCCCTTGCTCACCTGGGCGTCCCCATCCAGCGCGGCTTGGGCATACATCTGCACAGACAACTCAAGGTCTTGTGACTGGTTTTGGTGGCCATAGTAGTAAAGATCTCCCATTTTCAAATATGCTGCAGGACAAAAAGCAAAGGCTCATGGGTCAAGAGGTTTTATTTCAAACCAACATTTTAACTGATTGGCCTTTTCACAAGATGGAGAGTTTTTTCTACCAGCCTCTGAGTACAGAAACATCTTTAGCTTCCCTTGGAGGAGAAAAGGCAGTCTATTGTGCAACCCCATTTCTCCACACACTCACTGGCTTTTCTGGGTGGCCGCCTGGGTCTGTCTGTGAGAATTGCAGTCTGCAACCTCACAGTCCCCCCACACAAAGGTCGTTTGGGGTGCTGTGTCACATGTTTGCATATTTGCCTCCTGGGGTTGATGACTGATGGGTTTCTTTATTCTGCTTGAACTCACATTTTTTTCCTCTGAGGAAAATGTTTTGCTTAAGAGTATTGGTATTGCTCAATGTCCAATCAGAAAAACAGAATCCAAGTCAGGTGTTTCAAAGGGGAGCAGAGAATTGTGGGACTATATCAGAGGGCCAAAAGGTGAGGCGCTTTCTCCTTTGAATGGTCACTGATCCGAGGAAATGGTGCATCCACGCCTATGTGGACCATGGACTCAGAGAAATAAATGAGCTACAGGAGGCAGAGAGCAGAGTTTAGTCATGATCTTAATAGCAGAGATTTTTCACTCTCTTTCCTAATTGTTTAGAAATATCACACTCACAGAAAGCTGTTAGATGTTCCCTGTTACTAAGGATTAAAAGCCTCCAATGTTTCCAGTTAGCACCGTTTTTCTATACATACCAAATGAAGGCGCATCGATTTGGAAAACAGAGAAATTATAGTATCTCCAAACACAATTAACACCCAAGTATCTCTTGGCCAGGTCCTAAGGGGGCGAAAGGGGAGAAAAAGTTAATTCATCGATATTTCCGCCAAGTGACAAATTTTACCTTCATAAAAGCCAATTTATTATCTTTAACTTAGAGCTCTGAGAAGACATTCACTTACTGGCCGCTCCTCACAGATGTGTGCTAAATTTGTCTGTGACACTTCAATCCCAGTTTCTGCTGCTAAAACATAATACAGCAAAGCTTCGTGCCTAAAAATAGATGATTAATAATAAATTTCATATAGTGGTTCTTACTAATATTCACAGAAAGCTTTATATTCAAACATAAGAGGGCACAAAATAAGCAGTTTTTTTTTAAAAGCGCAAAATCATGAGTTTTTTTTTTCTTAAATAAATACTGTTGTTAAAAATACTGCAAGCGCTGATTTATTTTCTATCTTAAAGGCTGCACTCACAGATAAGGTTGGGGAGCTAGTTGGTACAACAGCTACCTCTACTGGCCAAATGCCGGCCAGGTACGTCGGCTAGCCTTCGACACTTGAATTCCTCCATCCTCCCTAAGAGGAGATAAGTGGTATTAAGAAAAAGCCTTGTGCTTTTCAGTCCTTGGGTTTGTGAAAGGCTTTATGAGGCTTAGGATTCTCAACAAGCTTAATTAAAGCTGCGCTTTTGCGGTGCTTTAGAAGTTTGGCAACAGAGAGGCAATTTATAAGGGGCTTGATTCCGAAGGCCAAAATCACATGAAAAAAATGAATGTTCGATAGGACTAGTAATTGAATAATTGCAAACAACAAGAGCTTATTCTTCATCTGTTGGAAGGTTGCACATGATTCATAATACAGTGACAGCAAGGGCTCGGGAAATGGATACATTGACATAGCCCTGCTGATGAGATCATCGATCCACCCGGGGTTAAAGTGGGAAGGCTTAGGAATGGCCGAATAGCACAGTGTGAGGACTTGTGCTAAGGAAACAAGCAGAGGCATGTGTAAAGACCCTGTGGCAGCAAAGTTCATGGCAAGGATGTTGATATTGGGGGTTAAGGGTGAAGTGGAAACAACTTAAAAATGAGTGACCAGTTAAATGAACTCAGAGAAACAGTCACTTTCAGATGAGGCCATTGAAACTGTTGTGAAGTATACAAAAATGGGGGAAGGAGATGGTGAAGTCTTCTAGTGCAAGGTCAACTATCAGGCTGGCTCCCTCTGCTGTCGTAAGTGGAGGGAATGTGAAGTTCATGATATTAAACTGTTGTGAAGTATACAAAAATGCACATGGATGCCTGCAAAATAGTGCAGTCAGTGGGGGAAAAAAAGCAGAGTTTAAAAATTGCAATTCCACTTTAGTAAAACAAAGTAAAACCAAATACACACATGCACGTGCAGATACATAAATGCAGAGAAAAAAGAAAACCTAAAGTTTATCTACCAAAATGCCAGCTCTAGATGGTGAGGGGCAACTCATGTTTCTTTTTCACTTTTCTCTTTTCCTTCGTTTTCCTGTGCTACCCAGTTGTATGAGCAAAATTTTATACTAACCATAAATAGCTGTTTCTAGAGCTTTTTTAAATTTTAAGTGGTTGACACTAATAACTCTTAATTTTAGCTTCACCTAGAAGAACTGCTTTAAGGAAGGGTGAGGGAAGCTGGGGTGGCAGTGGGGGAAGAGGAAAGTAGACACTGATCATCTTTTGCACATTGCTTTTCCTAAAATCATCTTTTCCAGATTGCGAAGGCAGCTTCTGACAGACCACCCCTTGGAGACAGAGAGAGGTGATGGGGGTCAAATCAGGGCAGACTGTCAATCAGACAAACCATGGGTGACAGGTCATGGGTCACTCAGTGGCTGCTAAGTTAGATGATTTTTGGACTCCGAGCTTCCCAATGCTCCGATGGGCCATGACTCAAGCTAAGAGCCATGAGCCTGGCTAAGTGCTGTCCCTGCGTAGACAAGTCACAGGACAACCCACATTGCAGGCAGAGCCGCAACACAAAAGAAGCCGGGGCATTTTCTTACCTACCCTGCAGAAATCGCCTCTGGTAAGATTCCTGAACCCACCCCAGGAAGGCATGCAGGGAGACCCAGCAGAAAGTGCCTGTCATTCTGCAACAGGCTCTTAAAAGTACAAAGGTCTGAAGCTCAAGTTTCATCAGACACTCAGGCTGCACCTCTGCCTTAGTTTCCCCCAAGGATGAATGGGGGAAGGAGATGGTGAAGTCTTCTAGTGCAAGGTCAACTATCAGGCTGGCTCCCTCTGCTGTCGTAAGTGGAGGGAATGTGAAGTTCATGATATTAAAATAGAATGAATTGAATTATCCTAAGATGACAGTAGGACAGTATTAGAATTTGGTGGTGGGGGTGCAGCGGCAAGGTTGACAGTCCCTGTAAGAACAGTCACTGCAGAACTGAGGTTACTTACCACAGAGGGAACAAAGGGTATCCATGTGTGTGGGGGGAGCAGGGGGAGCGCTGCATGGCCCAGGGAGTTGTTGGTATTTTGCTGGGGGCCTGGTGTGGTAACATACATGTGCAGGGGTGTGAGCCTGTACTCCTAAAACATACAGTGCTGGAAGCCATTACCCCAGTAAAATAAGGGGAAGAAATGAAATAAAAAGAAAAGCTGTTTGGGGGAAATTGGCCTATATTAAAAAAAAAACAACAACCAGTCACTAGGATCAGCTTTACAAAGACAATAAATATTGAGTCTTTAGAGGTTACTTTGATGGTGGGAGAGAAGAGGGAGGGACCAGTTTTATAGGAAGACTTCCACAGTCCAATTACCGTATAAGCTGGGAGGAAGTTTTATAGAGATCTCAAGAGTTTCCTTGGAGGAAACACTGAAATCCATCAAAAGAGATGTCAAAAAACATTGACATCAACAAAGGCACTGGACAGAAATCCATGGCTGCCTTCCATGCCACAGGAGCAGGCTCCGACACCCCCACAGCGAAGATCAACCGCAGGCAAGGTCAAACACTCCAGCACAGACTTCCCTGGCTCGCACTTCCGACACGGCCATCTCTGCAGAAACCCTATCTCCCAGGACCTTGCTCTTCCTTGCGTTTCAACAGCAACTGCTTCAAAGGATTAATTACAGATATTTCTATACTTCTATTCATGGAACAAACATTTATTCAGCCCAGCTATAGAGAGGCAAGTGCAGGGAGCCCGCACGCAGGCCACACCATCCTTCCACGGATCTCTTCAAGGTTTACGAAGCATTATTTCCAAAGCTCTAAAGTAAAACTGTCCCCCAGACAGTCATTCTGACCCGGCTGGGGACTGGTGCTTGCAGAGAGGAGGGGATTTAGAGACAAGAACGAGTTGAGCGGCACATTTGCAATCCTCCCACGTCAGACTCAGCACATATATTTATAGAACTTTTATAATGATACATCTTAATAATCAACCCTTTGGCTGCCTGCTGTGGATAGTGAAGTTGAGGACCTCTGAGAAGTTTCTCAAACAATGATATTCTGTTCTCTGAGCTTTCTTCTGCCAATGACTGGAATAACTCAAACTGGAAGGGTGAAAAACTCCTTGGGTCTCGGTGGAATTCCAGACTTCTGCTCTACTGGGAAAAGGTGATTGTTTCAGCAGGATCACGGCACGCTGCCTTGTCTTACCTCAAACCCAGCATTACCCGACTGACCTCCTGGGTTAAGTATTCTGGGTGTATTTAAGACAAAGGACAATAAAACACACAGCTCGCAGATGAACACATGAGGGATAAGGGGAACAGAGATGGAACAGGACAGCTGGCTTCTCCTTAGCTGACTTCTCCTGGTGTCTGAGGACAGCCTCAGGCACGACATTATCTTCCATATTATGCCTATACAGCAAAAGCGCCCTTTCTCAACCATGCGATTCTTTTAAACTATCCCATATACATCTTGGAACAACACAGAAAAGCACAAGCTCATCAAACTGACACATGTAATTTGAAAATAACATCCAGAATAAATTCACTCACAGAAAATGAAAATAGGGGATGGACTTGGGACATTGATGGATGATTTAGCTCTATTACAGCAAAATAGATGGTACCCAAAAAGGCCACACTGTGGTGTGGGGATGCCCACCCACATATATTTCCTATTTAACCCCTGGAGCAGGTTTGGAGGATTGGAGGACAGGAAGAGATAGAAGCAATTTGCCTCCAATATATTGTGATAAAGATTTTCTGGTTGTAAGTGGATTTTACATGTTTCTTCCTGTTGATAGGAAAAGGTCTTGAAACAAGAGTGAGACTTACTTTCAGCAGTATATAGCATCAACATCAAAACTGGCCAGGTTATGGAGAAACAGAAATTAACACATGGCAGGTAGGAGAGTAAAGTGGTAAAATTATTTTGGTAAACAACATATGTCCTTGTAATAACAGGAGTGGGGTCACATGTGCATGCTCTGTGACCCCACTCCTAAGTTTATAACCTAAACAACCTCTTCCCATGTGTTCTGGGATGGTCATAAAAAATGTTCAGGGCCATATTGTTATTAAAAACACAAAATGGAAACAATCCAAATACAAGTTAATGTGACAATCGGTAAATAAACTGTGTGGCATGTGACAGCAGCAACAGTGAATGACCAACAGGCATTGCATCAAAAAACAAGAATCTTGGAACCAAAATGTTAAGAATAATATATAATAGAAATCTAATAATATAAAAGTCAAAAATGGGCCCATGAAATCTAGTGTATAGGAATACATCTGTGTAGAGCAAAATTGTTTACAAAAAAATGCCAAGATGCAAATCGACAAGAATTAGAATGAGGGTGACTTCTGGTGACTTCGTGTGAGGGTGAGTTTAACCTGGGCACGACATTCGTAAGCAGGGTATAAGTCTATGTCACACAGACCTATAGAGAGATATATATATCACATTGTTTTTTATGTCTTGACTACAGCCGTGCATCACATGACAATGCAGATGCATTCTGAGAAATGCATCTTTAGATGATTTCATTTCTGAATGAAATCAGAATGAAATGAAAGTTCTGAGTGAAAGTTCATTTCTGAACTTTCTAGTCTGTACTTGCAGAAAGCTAGATGGGTGTTGCCTACTACCCACCGGGGCTGTATGGTATCGCCTCTTGGGACAACCATCAAATATGTGGTCAGTCACTGAAATGTCGTTAAGAGAGGCAGAACTTTTTTTATGAGAAAAGAGAAAAACAACTCACTGGCTTGGGCCACAGTCCAGCTCAAATGTTCAGCTCCTGTAACCTGGATTCTGAACTGGTTCCCCTTTCAAGGTCTCCCTTTTCTTCACCTTCACCAATGGTGGTTTGGTTAAGCTTCTCAGGATATACCTCTCATGCCACTGCCCTCTCCCCAAACTATCTTGATTTCACACTGCTTCACATACACTAACTAAAAAGTGTATTAAAATTATCAAAATTTCACCAAGCAGCCTCTTCACTTCCTTTCATAACTCTTACCCTCAAGGAAACTGGATGGCTTAAAATTTTCTAGACTCTCCCAAGTCTCTATCTCTTTGCTTTCATTCCTGCAGTTCCCTTTATCTGAAATGCTGTTCCCTGCATGGAAGTTCCCCCACCTCTCAAGGTTGTATCTTGTGCTATCTCCATCACGAAAGCTGGCCAAATTCTCCCAAACCAGGTAACATCTTTTTTTTTTTTTTTAACCTCAGAATCCTCACTGCTGTTTATATATTGCTCATGGCCCTTGAATTATAATGGGTCTTTCTATTTGCCTTCTTTCATTCACTCAGTAGATTATGAACACTTTCCAGGTGGCACTAGGAGCTTGGCCCTGGAATACAAGCCACAGGGCTGTCAACAAGTAGAGAGCCATGAAGGACCAGGGGAGAAGGAGTCAGGCAGGAAGGACTTCTAGGCAGAAGGAATAGCAGGGACAAAGGCGCATATGTCAGAATACAGGTCATGTGAGAAACTTCTGGTAGTTCAGCATAGGGAAGATATCGGCAGCAAACTTCCCCAAGCCCTCCTTGTACATCCCTTGCATCTGTGGCAAGGAACCCTGCATGCACCTAGTAAGACTCTGCTAAATTAAAACCAAATCTACAGCATAGAACACGCTTAACTTTACTCTCCCTTCCACACACACAGAGTCAGTCTCACGTGCCTCAGTATTCTCAGGACACGAAAAGCTTAACTCATCTCGATCTTGACAGCAATTTTTTTTTTTTTGGTGGGACCCTCGCCGGCGGCCGGGGAACGAACCAGTGCTTCAGAGGCTGCGGGCAGCCCCGCAGTCCAGCGCTCAACCGCTGCGCCACCAAGAGAGGCCCTTGACAGCAAATTTTTAAATGTACTACATGAAGTGCTTTGTGATGTTAAATTCTAAAGTAGGCAAGAAAACCAAGCTATCTATTTACAGATGCTTGTGATGGGGTGTGTGTTGGGGGTATTTACAGATGTGTTCTCTCTTTGGAAAACCCCACATATAAACTAAGCCCTTTGAATGCTTAGTTCTCTCTTTAAATCTGTGGGGAGCAAAGGATGGGAAGTCTGAAGGACAAGTAGAGAAGAAAGTCAAATTTGGGAATGATGTGCTCATTTGGGAAACAAGATAAAACACCACAAAATAGTAAAGCATATCAATGGGAAAATAGCTTCATTAAAAATTTCTTTCTGATTGTGCCAAGTAATGGCAATTAGTGATATTAATATTCATACACTAATATTATTTAATAATAACATCATCAACTTCAACAGGATGATAATAAGGAGCATTTTGGTATTTAGGGCTATTTTCGTGGGGTTTACTTCCCCGGCTTCTCTCCTTTAAGACTCTCGCTCATGCACATGCTGTCTGTGGAATATGGGAGCACCCACAGGTCAAGGGACACAATGGTGTTCTTTGGGACTTACATTTTCATTTTTAATTAATTTCAGATCAGAGTAAGATCGATGACAGGTCTGATCTAATGTCTTCGAGGCCCTTGACTGGAGGCATACATGCTGCTTTGCATATCTATTTCAGTTATGACTGAAATATACAGATCATTTCAGCAGTAAACCATGAAAATGTGGCCCAGGGGAAAAGTAACAGAGTGCTGGGATTCACGGAAGAAAACAAAAAGATGAAGCCAGGCAGAGCTTGGAGATGTATACCCTGATAGTGAGAGCGAGCAACAGCAGATGTGGGGAGGGCATTTGTGAGCCCTTAGGTTCATGCCAGGAGTATGGGGTGAGGTCTGCTAACTCCATCAGGAACTAGACAGGGATTCAATTTGGATGTGTCTCTTGGTTGAGTCTACTGGGGCCTGGTGAGTGACTTTCAGTCATCCTAGACTGCTGCTCTTGGAAGATGCAGAAATATATCTATGAAAGAATGTAGCCTGAGTCCTTTTGCTCTTAAAGGCACCACGCTCCCTTCTTCCCAGAAATAAGGTGGAAGTCCTGGATTTTTTGTGGGCAGAGGGTCAGCTAAGATCCTCTGTCTCCAGACACTGAGACCAGGGGAAACCAGCTTGAAGGGAAATCAATGCACTTGTGTGTCTCTCAACTTGATGAATGTGGACACTCCCCCTAGAATGAATTTTTGTGTAAAATTAAACATGGAAATGCTGTGTTTTCCAATCAACAGCCAATCAGTCTGCGATACGCTGAATATCATTATTGAGAGGCAGTGATTTCCCTGCAAATTGCTTTTCTGGTTGCATTTTGAGATTCCATCTCATAGGGCAGCACTGACGGATTGGAAAGTAAGTGTTGAGGAAGTCTGCTCTGGCGTGGGTCCCCAGCTTACCAGAAACCCTCCAGGTAGGCATTGAGGCCTTTGCGAATGACGTGACCCAAGTAGCCATTCTTCTCAGCTACGTGCTTTGCCCATCTGAAAAGGAAAGGATAAAAAATATCCAAACTGTGGTAATTAAATAATTGCTTTTTTCTTCATATGATCTGAATAAATCCCACTTGGGGGATATTTTGCTTGTTAAAGTTTTTATAGAGCAACAAACCAGAACTGAATATTAAAAAGGTAAAGAAAGATGCCTTTTGAGAACGTAGCATTTACTGCCCCTCTTTATGAATGTTTAGAAGCTGTCATTTATGGAAACAGAGACATTTCAGGTAGCTGATGAAAGATATCCAGCAATATAGAAAAGATGATCTTTACGAAGAGTTCTAGTACTTTCTCAATAAAACATGTTTACTGACTTGTTAAATGGTTTCTCTATTTTTTTCTGTCCCTTGGATTAATATCCTAGAGGGTTTTTTCTGTCCCTCTAGGATTAATATCCTAGAGGGTTTTTTAATAATGAACTGGTCTGTTGTAATCTCTATATTTACAATCACTAAAAGAATATTATAAGAACACATAACTACAAGCTAATGAAAATAGGAAATAGAGTAAGTTTTTAAAAAATATTTGACTGATATAAAGGAAGGACAAGGGAAAAAAAGGCTCAGAGAACAGATGGGACAAATGGGAATAAATAGTAAAGTGACAGATTTAAAATTAAATATGTCCATAATTACATTAAACATAAATGGGCTAGATACATCAGTTAAAAACTAAATTGTCAGACTAAATTAGGGAATATACAAAAACTCAATTACATGCTACTTACAGGAGACACATTAAAGAATAGACAGTGATTAAAAGTAAAGGAGGGAAAATATAAAACATGCAAACTCCAACCAAAAATTTAAAAAAAGCAGGTATAAGTATACTAACACTAGAAAAAGTAGACTTTAAGGCAAGAACCATCCAAAGAGATAAAGAGGGCGTTGTAAAATGATAAAGGGGTCAACTTGGAAGGTATCCAAATCTCTATGACCCAATAATACAGATTCAAAATACTTAATGCAAAACTGACATGACTTTAAAGGAGACTATTTGAGAAGACCATTACGCATGTACCAAAATTGACCATATATTAGTCATAAAGCAAGCTTCAAATCTCAATAGATTGAAGCAACTCAGAATATACTTTCTGATCACAGTGGAATTAACTTTGAAATCAATGACAACAAAATAATGAGAAAATCTATGAACCATATGCACGTACCCTGAACAACAGTAATAAAGGCCTCAAGTCTTGGCCAAGTTTTATCACTGAGTTCAGGTCAGACTGGATTTGCTTTCAAATGTTACATGAAAAAGAGCCTTCAGTAAGTCAGACTGCTGAGCGCCATGATTTAAAGCTGAAGTCTGCAAACTTCATTTTTCTATAAAGGGCCCGACAGTAAACATCCAAGCCTGGTGAACCACACAGGGTTGAAGCTAGGTATCCTACTTTGTTTTACACTGAAAATGTAAAAAGCATTCTGAGCTTTTGGGGCCACACGTTATCTGGACATAGTTTGCCAACATCTATAAAATGCTTTCAGACATGTGCCTCAAAAATGTGCCTCCTGGGTCTCCCTGGTGGCGCAAGGGGTTACGCACCACACTATGAAGCAATCCGCAGCCTCTGCAACACGAGTTTGATCCCTGGCTGGCCACAGAGAAACCAACATGGCATCGCAGCAGACCTCTCCTGTCTCTCCCACTGCTCCCCTCAGCAGTGTATTTCAGTAGATCCGCCTGTTCTGCTCCCCACTCTTGTCTCTGGTGAATCCTCTCATCCCCTACACCTCAGGCCTATACCCCAGCTCTTGTATGCATAAATAAAATAAATCTCAAAAAATATTAAGGCTCTACATAGAAACTTCAATATCCATTACTGTGTCAGTAATATGTATTATATGTACAAAAGATTTATCCCTCTCTTCAAAGATACATTTAAAGACATTAAAATGTTTATATATGCATGTGTTTATTCTATAAAATTGATTTCATTAAAAAAACAAATTAAATTTTGGAAGAACAAAAAGGTAAAAGAAAGAACTATTTTCTTAGGCATAGTAAATAGCACCTGTGACTTCCCTCCTGTTTAACATTTGACAGATACTTACACAACAGCCTTCTCGGGATCTCTGGGGAAGGTCTCCAGGTTCCCTGTGATGTAGTAGAGAGAACACCACAAGGTCCCTTCGATGTGTCCACCTTGGGCAGCCTTGTGGAAATATTCACCGGCTAAAGTCTGCAGAGAGATGAACAAACACCACATCACTCCCTGTAGTAAGGGGTCCCAGTCGGGAGGGTTTCACTGGAGCCCAGATGGTGAGGTACTTAGCCCCTGATATCATCATAGGCTAGAAAATCCTGCTATCTACAAGAAGGCAAGTCAAGTTTCAGGAAGACAGCCAATCACAGAAGCCTGTCTGTGGTTACCTTGACCACAGTGATGCTGTTGATTAAGTTTACGCACTAAAGACATCACGTGAGCGCACTAGCATTGCCACCTGCCTTGATCTTCACCTAAGCCCTGCCAGGGAGACAGTGGGCTATCAGAGTCACATGGGTGAAAACTCAGGCAATTGCTTCCCTGCCCTTGCTTAATACCTGTCTCCAAATGCATGTGCAAAAACTGCATTTCCAGGAAGGTGAGAATTAAAATATGACAATAAAAAAATCCCTGCTCACAGATGTGTGGGACATTTGCAATTACCAGACATTTGCAATGCATGAAAATATACTTAGAGCGCAGTAGAGGGGGAAAAATAAAACCAACACTTAGATGGTTCTATGTTCCACTGTAACTATTATTTTCCCAACGGTGAACTGTCGTTTATGGGCTTTGGAGTCAGACAGACTTGGGTTCAAATCCTGGTTGTGCTCTTACTAGCTGTGTGACTTGGACATATTAATTCATCCACACAACTAAGAGATTAACTGTTTTTTCAACTGAAAAATGTGGCTTCTGACAGCAGCTAGCATGAAAGGCTGTTGCAGAGATTACATGAGGTAATCTGTTCTTGATGGTTAGTATGGTGCTTCACAAAAAATAATCTTTTGATGCCCCACCCCCAAATCTGCTGCTGCTGGTGTCCCTCATTTTTGCCATCTCAATAAATGCCAAACACCCTGAAGTCCCTTGCTTTCCCACCTCATACTCAATCCATTGGCAAATCCTGTCAACATGACCTTCAAACTATATCCAGGCTCCAGCGACATCTCTGCCCTCTGATGAGTCTGCCCATTCCCTGTCACTTGGATTCAACGCATTCACCCCCTGCTCCCACTCTCATCTCGTCTCTGCTAGGATCCAGGAGGAGCCTTCAACCCAGCATCTCACTGCCCCGTTCGAAGCTGCCCAGTGGTTTTCCATCCCACCCAAAGCAGCCGAATCCTCTCAATGACCTACCTCCCTCACCTCCCCACCCCACCCCCTCGCTCCTGCTTGCTGCGTCCACCGCTCCAGCCTCTCAGCTGTTCTGAGAGCATGCCAAGCCTGCTTTCCTCTCCATCTCTGCCCTGTTGTTCCCGTTTTCTGGAATGTTCTTCTCCCAGTGATCTGCAAAACTCCTTTACAAGTCTGTGCAACATTACATGATCAGAGAGATTTCTCTTGTGAAATAGTATCCCCGATGTTCACCCTCACTGTCCTCCTGATCTGGCTTTATTTCTCCATAATGTTTACCTCCACCTGCCCTTTTATTTTTATTTAGTTATTGTCTTTTTGCCCCACTGGAACATAAGCTTCCTAAGAGTAGGGATTGTTTTGCTTGCCGCTGTATCCTCAGTGCCTGGCATAGGGAGGGCCGTCAGTAAGTCTTGTTGAATGTAATGGTGCTCAGATTATTACCATTGTCACCATCATCAATATTCTTGTTAAATCAAGGGGCTCCCCCTTGCAGGTCCTGGCCGCACTGAGTGTTTGAGTAAGTTATGGCACCTCTCAGAGGCACTGTTGCTTATTCTGTAAAATAGACTTAATAGTAACTACTCCAGAGGGCAGTCAGGATGACATGAGGGCACAAGTGAATGCTCACGAGTGTGAGGAAGTGCTCAGCACACACTTAAGGTTGCCTCTGTTGTTTATGACAATCATAATGTCAATATTATTAATTTAGGTCTCACACCAGACAACCCTATGTGGACTGAGCTTTCGTTGCTTCTCGCAAAAGCAGCACTGTTCACAATCATGCTCACATTTTATCCTCTCCCTTCTATTCCCTCCAGTTCAGGCCTCCTCCTCCATGAAGACTTCCTGACTGCTTTGGCCTTCCCTTTTCCAGCTGTTTAGGTCTTAGCAATTAGCATACACTTGGCACCTGGCTACTGCCATCCTTGGCCCTGTGCTGTCTTGTCCTCCTAACTGGACCCTTGAGGCCGGGGTCTGTGTCTTGGGGCCCAGTCCGGGCAGGCACAGAGCACCCCTTCACAAAGCCTTCCCTCTCCAGTCACTGACCAGCTGCACAGCTGCTGTCATTCTTACTCACTTGATTCCTTCCAGGAACTCCTGGGAAAATTCCATCCAGATACAGGACTCCAAGATTGTACGATGCATCTGGGTTACCCATTTCTTCTGCTTTTAACCAGTACTTTGCCGCTTTGGCATAATTTTTCTTGAATTTGTGATAATACCATCCCAGGCCATTGACTGCCTGATGCAATCCCTGGATTTTAGAACAAGAAAGAAATTACTTTTTTTTTTTTAATGAAACCTAAGGAGAATTAATTGTTGTGCAAGCATTCTGCCTGAGTCTGAACAAAATCTGCCTTTTCTCTTTTTGGGGGCAGATGGCATTAAAGAAAAACTAAGTGCTAAAAAAAATATGCGCCTCAGCATCTTCCCAGGTGGATCTCGCCCGGCTGCTGCTGGGATTTCTGCCTTCCAGCAAAACAGCGATGCTGGCCCCCAAATCATCGCTCAGCTCCTGTGGGCTCTTCCGCATCAGTCTTGTCTGGGAAGGGCCTCTCATTGCCCTGCAGTATCGACAGTGCCCTTGAAACTCATGAGCGCTCAGCTGTGACAGGAAGCCTGAAACCGCCCCGGCTGGGACGTTTCTAGGTGACCCGTCTGCCCATCTGCTGATGACTCTGCCCCGAACACCAACTAATCTCAGGGAAGCAGGTGCACCATCCCTCTTGCAAAGCACAGGTGCTCTGTGACCACTTAGCATCCCTAGTGGGGGCGAGGCAGAAGAGAGGCAGGTAGAGAAGGGTTTCAGAACTGTCTAAACCCGGGACTGCTATCTGGGAACCCAGTGTCGAGCTCCCTTGTTCTTGCTGATTCATGCTACCAGGTGCGAGCCCCAGGTGCTCCCGCCATTTCCAGGAGTCTCCAGGCTGGCTGTGGAAGGCCAGAAGTCTGCAGGAGCAAGAATGCTCCTGATGGGAGCTTCCTGTCCAGAAGTGAGACTTCTCAGGTGCAAATCTGGGCAGACAATTCTCCTTTTTCCCTTCCTGCCAGGCCCACAGCCACGAACAGGGAGGGGGAGAAGGATTCGAGGGGCAACCATTGCTCTTGCATCTGTGAGACTTAAGTCAGAGTCCAAAGGGGAGACCAAATCTATTTGGCCTCTCCTTTCACCAAAAAAAAGGCAGGAGCCTTAACAAGATGCCAAGACCCCAGGACAGATCTCTTCATTCTGTAATAGCTCCCTCTCTATCTTTTTGTTAGAATCTGGGTGTCAGGAAGATCAGGAGAAGGAAACTAACAGAGCCCATTGAAGAGCAGCTCTCTTCTCTATCCCAAACACCTAGGTGGGTGGAGCTTGGCTTAGAGTAGGTGCTCAACACATATTTGACGAATGCACAAAAGTTATCCCTTGAATGTTAATGCTGAACAAAACAAGCCAAATCCTACACCCCGAAGAGCAAGAGTAGAGCTCAGATCTACAGGCCCCCAACATAGCTGACCCCCAAGTTAGCTGACAAATAGATGGGTCGTGGATGCTTTCTTTGAGCCTCACACAGTACCAGGTGCAAGGCAGCCTCCTGGTAAGACTCACAGAAGATGCACTTCCATGATGTAATACACCAGGTTCTACATCAAGTGGTAAAAGCCAGCCACACCACCAGTTACCAAATGTAATTTCAAAATGGTTTTTGCAGACCACCAGAGGCCACAACTGGTCTCACACCAGACAACCCTATCTGGACCCAGCTCTCTTTGCTTCTAGCAAAAGCAGTATCTGATCATTCTTACCTTTTGTCGTCTCACCCTCCTACCCCCAGTTCAGGGCCTCCTCTGCCATGAAGATGTCCTGATTGATTTGGCCTTTACTCTTCCCCCTTTCCAGAACTGCTTGGATCTTGGCAACTAGCACAGACTTGGCACATGGCTACATGCACTCATTTGCTCTGCGCGACCCTGTCTTCATAATTGCACCCCTAAATTCCTGGCGGACAGGGTCTGTGTCCTTTTCAAATGTACCTGTCATCACTCAAAACATTCAGAGAACTCCTTTAGGAATTGCATGCAGACCCATTTCAGGGACCTCCAAGAAACCCTGTCTTATTTCTCATTACTCATGCCTTTTTCTGGACACATAGGGTTCTATCAACAGATCTACCACCATGTGATTTTTGGCTGATCCCCAAAATCACACCTCATGCAACCATCACCACTGTATCTGACAAAGAAGGGCTTGCTAACTCCTTGCTGCATGAATGAGTGAGATCACAAAGCAATTTTAAGGCTATAACTACTCTGAGTGGGCCATAAAAATATATTTCCCCAAGAATATCTAAGTTCTACTAAAAATCCATTGAAAATAAAGTACATTAGCTATCAGTTCACTATTAGAATGGCTAAAGAGGCAAATTTCACACCTGCCAGGAAACCCCATCACTGCCCTATTTTGGCATGTTCTAGAAACTATATCCTCAATGGCCATCATTAAGCTACTTTCCTACTTCTGCCCTATAATTTGTGTGGGTCATGAACTGGTGCGCACTTCAGTGGGTTTCCTATGTTCCCCTCCAGATGCCACAAAGAAGAGCAGAACCCTTCTGGGTCTCTTGCTGCATGCTTCAATTTCCCTTCTCCAGAAAAAATATAGACACTCTGAGCTCCTCAAAGAAAGGGAATGAGGAAAAAAAATCAGAACCTGGTGACTTTTGGAGAGTGACTTTGCTGAGGGGTCAAATATTATCAGCTTTAGGGATGGAGACATATTCATGAGCCACCAGGGCTATGACGGTCCCTGTCCAGGATGTAGATTGCAGTGGTATCTGCAAAGTTACTTATTTATTTGCAAATCTCTATGCATGTGCACGTGAGGGTGCATGTAATGGGTGTGTGTCTCTGCCTATAGGGACAGATAATCATTTGTGTGTTTGAGTGAGGATCCCCTCAAAAGCAGTGGTATAATCTCCATCTGTAATGCTATATTGAAACTCACTGGTTTGAAGCTAACCTTGAAAAGTAAATAGTGACAAAAGCAAAGTAATCCTTTAGCCCAATAATAAATTTGATAAACAGTCCCACAATTAAAGCTGGAGAACAAAAGGGAATTGGACAGGGTAGTGTTAACATCAAGGGATAAGGCTTTGATTCTCCTAATTCAATGGCATTTAAACCCATTCAATTTCAAGGAGCCCCCATTGCCTGTTATCAGGGCAGCTTGTGATTATAATTTTAGCTTTCGAACAAAATTGGCTGACGTTCTATTGACTGGAAGGTGAATTCAGCTTTTGAATTGGGCCGTCCCATTGTGGCAGGTGTCTGTGTGTGTTGTAGCTCAAAAATGACTCATTGCTGCCATGCCAGCGACCTCTCCCCGCCATACTGCATCTCCACCTTGGGGCTTTGTAGGAAAACACTAGCCATTTACTCTCCCAGACTTATGAGAGTGTGGGTGGGTGGTGGAAATGTTTCTTCTGACAATATGCATAAGTGTTACCTTGGAAGCTGCTTTCTTCATCAGCTCCAAGGCAAGCCGTCTGTTCTTTTTCACTCCTTGACCCTAAACAATGATAAACAGCAATGATCATGAAAAAAATAAACCCAAAGTATGTTCAAAAACTTCTCACAGATAAGAGTATTTAAGACAAAATATTTAAAATTTTTCATTAAAACATAAGCTTTTTTTTAAAAAAACAAAAACCCAAGCTTTCCTTATTAAAAACCTAATCATCAAGATTTCTACATGCAGAGCCATCCTATCATCAGAATTATCATTATTGTGCTTATATTTGTGGGGCAGAGGCAACAAACCTCAATCTTCCAGGTTAGAAGCGCAGCGAATTCCCCATTTATCACTGAGTGACTCCCTTTGCGTCAATCCACAGGTACTTTGGAAGAAGCCATGAAGAAGGTTAAATGAGTTTGGCCACCCTGGATGCTTTTCTCTGGGGTTTATCTAATTTGCCAGCCACATGAAGCACTCTATCTGTGTCAGACAGCCCAGTGTAATACTGCGCTGTCATGGCAGCCTTCCTGAGCCCCTGCAGGAGTCTCCAGGGTAGGATGGTGCAACTTCAGGAACAGCTCCGAGACCAGTTGTAAATACAAAGGACCCCTTGGAATCGGATACTGACAGAAATGGACAAAGTTTCTCCAGCAAAATGAAGTTTCTTCCAGCAAGACAGGGTGTGCACCATGGAGAGAAGTGGTTTGGGGGTTCTTGTTACAACTGAGGGGCTCTGGGGTGTGGCAAGACCATGTGAGCCAACAATAGGTGTGAAGAGGGATGGGAAGGAACATATAAAGTCTCTCTTGATATATAGGCGTGACACTGACAGGGGCAGGCAAGAGGCATCAGATGAATGCGGTAGCTGCTTCCAAATGCTATTATTGACACTTACACCCCACGTGCTCCTGTTCTGAGACAGTGGTTGAAGGTGTCACATATGACAGCAGACAGGAACACTTTGCATGGCTGTAGCTTGAACTCTAATTAAATACTTAGCGCTAAGCTTCTACTTACTTATGCTTACTATATTTGGCTCTATAATCAATGAAGACAGCGCTAGTAAACGTTCCTGTGTTAATTGGCAGGGTCAAGCACTATCCTGTCATCTACAATCCCCACAACAATCCAACCAGAGGTGCTGTTATTTCCCACTTGAGAACCTCTCCCAGATCACACAGAGAATGAAAAGCAGAGACAGAATTTGAAGCCAGACAGGTGGGCTCCAGAATCCAAACTTCTAACCATCACACTACATATCCTCCTGGACATTTCAGCTCTCTGCTGAGGCTGAATAACCTTTCACAAACTCCTTGAGGGATATCTTTGTGTATTTTTTCAGGTTCTATAATAAAATTGTAAATCTAAGTTTGGTTAAATTGCATATACTGAATTTCTACTAGACTTTAACTTCCCTATTTAATAAAACCGATGAACTGAAGCAAAGTGGAAGATGCAAATATTTTTCAGAAGTGCACCATTACTTCATTTAAGTAGAGCGGGAGAGGAGAGAGAAAAAGGGCAGTGGGTGGCTACTTGGCATAACTGGATGGGGTGCCAAGACCACCTTTTGGCACTTCTGGAAAAGCATCGGAGACTAGAATGACTGGAATGATAGAATGTTAAAACCTGGTTGAACTTCAAGTTTCTCTTCTCCATCTTCTTTGCGTTGAAGGAAAAACCTAGGACCCAGAGAGGCTGAATTATACAAAACCTCACAGATCTTCAACTAGAATTCAGAGACCCTGATTCCCAGGTTATGGATTTTCCAGGATACGTGCTACTTACTCACAAGTGCAATCATTTCTTGCAAAAAGACTATGCACCAGACCCAAATCTGAATAGTACTGAAAGTTGTTAAGTGAAAGAAATGTAGAGGACATATGTCCTCTATGTCCACACTATGTTCCAGGACATAGTGATTGTCAATGACAAGCCACTGAATGAATTCATGAACAAGCTACTGTTGTAAAAGTCAAAGTTCATGTGGATACAAAATGGGATGCCTCTGGGCCTCCCTGGTGGCTCAGGAGATTGAGCGCCACACTGTGAAGCTGTCCGCAGCCTCTGCAGTGCTAATTTGATCCCTGCCGGCCAGCAAGAATCCCACATGGCGAAGCAGACCTCTCCTCTCTCACCCGCTGCTCCCCTCAGCAGTGTATTTCATCAGTCTGCCTGTTCTGCTCCCTGCTCTGTCTCCGGTGAATCCTCTCACCCTCCCGCGCATCTGGCCTGTACCCCAGTTCTTGTATAAAAATAAATAAATCTTTAAAAAAAAATGGGATGCCTCTGTCCCCCATTTGGGACAAACCACAGTCACCATCACGGAACCTTCTCTGAATATAAGCTGAATACCCACACCAAAGCAAGCACTAGTCTTCACATTTAGAAAGTCCATTTTCTGGGTTTCTTCTGGAATATACTCAAAGAGATCTGGCCAGAGGCGAAATCATCCTGGAGATGCTGATAAAAGGCTTCCTACATCCACCCAGGGATAACAGAATGCAGGTTTGGGAAATGAGACCCTAAAGAAACATTATGTTACCTCCAGCATGATCAATTTATGCATTTACCTCTCCCTCCAGGTTGTGGGCTCCTGGCGGGCATAAGTAATGTTTGATTCATGCCTTTAACTTCTACTTTGGACAGTAGCCAGTCCCAACTCCAGTGGACAGGGGCCCCTCCTTTATGCTCGTCTCTGTCCTCTGTCTTCCCCATCAGCCTATGAGCCCTTGAGATCAGGGCCATGGCTCCAGCATCTGTATGCCCCTCCATCCAACACAGAGTTTGGCATTTTGTCAGCTCTGAATGGATATTTATTGAGTGAATGCATTAATGTATTGGCATATGGCTAAGCATCAAACCATTTCTATGCTGATTTGACAACTGGAAAGAGAAGTCCAGGTCCTAAATTTGGAAACCATAACAACCAAGAGGCTTTAAGGCTCTGAAGGATAGAAATGTAGCAAAAGTCATGGTTGTAAATAGCAAGTGGCCACAGTATAGCTCTGCCCACGTGAAGCCTTGTTCTCATTTGAAGACACATGCAATGTGGGGGCAGCTGCCTTCTCCGGGCCCGGACAGAGGGTCCGGGGGATTCCTCACCAGACCCAAGAGCTTTCACTTTTCCAGGACTGATGAATTGATGTCTCTGTGTGAGTGTGAAGAACACAGACACAGAAGCCAGACTGCCTGGACCACAGTCACTGGTCTGAAATGTATCATTTGTGTGAACTTGGGCAAGTTACAGCTTTTTTCTGAGCCTTTGTTATTGAAGAGATACAGCACTCATAGTACACCGCAGTGCCGATCTAACAAGTGGCTGTGAGGATTGAATGTGCTAATACACATACATCAAGTAAGAAGCATGATCAATCATAGTGAGCTGTTACTGTTTTGTATAAGACACACGGTATTATATGGTTCTCAACACCGGGCATTATGTTACCTCACCTGTGGGTCATTACTATTGTCCTGTGAGATCAGACAGATCAAGGATTCATGAGTGGTGGCTGCAAAGGAAGGACTTGAACTCTGTCTGCTGTCTCCTGGGCTAAAACTCTGCCTACCCAGCCCCCCTATTTTGTTGGCTCAAAACCAAAATCTTTGTTTTGATCAACAGAATAGTTGGGATCAACCCAACAGCAAAGCTATGATTCAGTGACAACTCTGCCTGCTGTGAGCCCGCAGCCCCTAGAGGGGCTGGCTCAGGTAGTGATCCATAAAACGGGCTTCTCCTCCAGACTGCCACAGTTCTTGCAAAAGCCAAGAGAATCCAGGTGCCAAAGTAAGACTAATGATTAAAAACAAGACCAGGGCACTGCTTCCGACTCTGCCTTTGCAGCAAATACCCCTTTTCATCAAGAGTGACAGGCACATATACGAGGTTTCTTCAGTTACAGACTCCCTGTTTGCCTGCACGCCTACAGGAAACTGCTCGGGAAGTCTGATAAGAAGTGCACAATTTCAGCGCAAATTAAGTGATCCTTACCTTGAATAACACAATGGCATAGTCGTATATTAATGCAGGGTCTTCGGTCTCCAGGGCGCCCTTGGCATACCACTCAATCGCCGCTTCTGGGTTCTTGGCCACCCCTTGCTGTCCCCAGAAGAGCATTTGGGCCAATCGTTGCTTCAAGACAATAGCAATTTAGAATAATGACTTTCTGGGCAATGCTTGACAAAGACGGGAGGACAAACCTAACTGAGAATACCTTTATATAGGAACCAAGAATTAGGTAGACATGTGGTCTCTTTCAAGTGGAGCCAGAACACTGGAGGTGGACTTGTGCAAAAACAAGTCTTTAACAAATTGGAAATGGTGTATGCATAAGTGCATGTGGAGAGGGTGTGTGTGTGTGTATGTGTGTGTGTGCGCACAAATGAATCCACTGCACCTAGAGCCAGAGCTCAATGGACCTTGGGCAAAAATCACTACTGTTTTCTCCTCACGCCCCTGCCTTTGGGGGGGCAGTGCCTACCCTTAGGTTCAGTGAATGGAGCAGAGGCACCATTCTGAATGCAACACCTGTTTCAGGCAGAGAGTCCTCTACACCTAGCTCCTAGCCCAGCATTTGTCCACATGGCAACTCATCATTAGACATGAGATGGGAGTTCTCCAAGACCTCAAGATGTTATATGTTTGCCCTCCTACCCCCAACCCCACACCCAACAGAGCTCAATAGAAGTTCATAGAAACTGTTCAACAAAAACTAACTGAATGAAGAAAGGAAGACGTGTCTGTTGCTAGGAAACTCATGCAAGCTCTGGAGCACCTGGGAAGTAGCTGTGGCAAAGACATTTCCAGAACTCTGCCCTAGAATTGCACTGGACAGACTGCAGGGGAGGGACAGACGCCCACGAATGGAGCCAGAGGTAATGTCTGCTGACATTCTGGCTTCATGTGCCTGGATCCATACTGTCTTCACTTCTTTCTGCTTCTGCTCTTTCTCTTCTCATTCTCCCCCCAAATACTTCTACAGCATCCAGCAAAGTATCTCCTAAAATACTACGAAGACATCTATAGAGGAAAGGGAGATGCCTTCCTAAAGTCTGAAGTGTTTTCTCATGTCTTTCCTTCTTTTTTCTCTCCTTTTCCCACCTCCAGTCTTCTGCCTGCTCAGCAGACCCAGAGCCTCTTCCCCACACTGTCTGCTCACAAAGAGGATGAGCTAAGCTAAATCCACCCTTTGACAAGGAGGCTTCCTTCTCTCTGCAATCAGCCTTCATCTGCACCCATCACAGCTTTCAATCCTAGTGAAATCAAGGCAAGGAGTCATGGGAGGGCATCGTCCCAGCTTTCTGACCTTTCTGTTCTTTAAAAGTCTACCCAAAAGGCAAGACATGTTCCAGAGACAGAGTAGATTCCGCTGGGCCTAACATAACACATGTGATTTTCTAGTGTCTTCACAGCTGAGTTCTCCAGGTCCATCTACTCTCTCTCCCTCCAAGAGGCTTCTTCTTATTTCTACCTGGTCCACTATGTCTGATCGTGTCTTTCCAACTGGTAACATGGACAGAGGCGTTCATCTCCTGGGTGCAGGTAGGACATCCCCTCCAGCTCACTGGAAGCCAAGTGATGAAGCATCTTGCTTTGGCAAATGAGAGCAGTAACTTGCGCTACTTCTGCATGGAAGCAGTAAGGCCCAGGCTGTGAGGGGCCGTAACATCACCCTCCTGCCATGGCTTGGAAGTGTGGTTATACGGAAGCTCCTGTTGGCCTGGGTTCCTAAGAGACTACAATGCACAGCCCTGCAACCCCCACCAGCCAGGCTGTGCGAGCAGGAAAGAAATGGTATTGCTTTAAGCCACTGAGATTTGGGGCTACGTGTTACCTGGGCGTGACTTGGACTAAGATAGACCCTATTTACCTGGGCGGCTGCGTTGCCTCGAGTAGCTTCGTGCTTCAGCCACATGAAGACATCTCCATCTTCTTTGGTTTGTACCTTGAGTATTTCATCATCTTTCAGCCTAATTGTTTCAACATATGCCTAAATAAGGAGGGCGGGCGAGAAAGAAGGGAAGACAGGGGGAGAAAGAGGAAGGGTAGGGTGGAAAGAAGTATCCAAATGACATAAGCGTGCAACAGATAGGACATTATTCTTAAACCAGCAATTGCTCAAGTAAAAACTACAGGAATAATTAAACTAGGACATTAAAGCTATAATGCCAGCAGATCACATTCTTTTTAAATGAATGCATCACGGCTCATGTATCTGAGTATTTTTGCTCCGATCGAAGAATTTGTCTTGAGAGGACAAAATTTATTCTACTTCCACTGCTCGAGCTTGTTTGAAAAGCTGCTTTTGTGCCACTGGTGTCAGAGCCCGATTTTATGCGGCATAAAAAGGGTAAGTCAATATTTTCTAAGTATAACCTTGTTTTATTTATCCCAAAGTGTTATTATCCTGCATGACTAACCCTTTTTATTTAGTAGACTCAGCTTCAAATAACTTTTGGCTATTTCCAAAAATTAAATCTATCCTGAAAAGAAGTGGGCATGCTAACTCCGAGGATGCAGCAGGAATGTGCTGGAGGCTCAAAAAGATGAACTCAAAAGGAAAGTTCACAGAATGTTTCGAATTTTCACACAGCCTCCCAGGTATCTGCCTTCTCTGAAGAAAATAAAGCTCATTTTGATGTATAAATTTTGACTGTTTATGAGACGAAAAAATACAAAAAGGTCCTGCTGCTTCACCGTCTCCGCTCACACATAATCAACTCCATCAAGCAGTGCCTCGGCTCAGGGTACGAGAAAGGGCTCCTGGATCCAGTGCAGGCCATAGGCAAACAGCACAGAAATTGGATCCAGAAGTCTCAGAGGACAAGAAACCAGGCCTGCCATCCCTGCAACCTTGGTTCAGAGAAGAGCTGAGCTTCACTAACTCTAGCCACCACCCCCCTTCCTGAGACTGTCTCCCAATTGTCTCTTCTGCTGTAGCCACATGGAGCCAGGGGTCTCTTTTGGGGACATGGCGGGGGGGGGGGGTTGTAATGCAGGTTCAGATTTGAATTGATAAGGTTCTTGAGTTATTGGGTTCTCAGACCCAGACCCAGACGGATCAATCTCTGAGGGCTGCTAATCTGGCGGAGGTCACTGAGCTGTTAGTAAGGAGAATAACAATCACCACCAGCTTTTGTTGAAATCAAGCACATGCCAGGTACTTAGTGTTTTCATTTAACCCTCACAACAGGACTACACCCCAGACCTCACAGTCCTGAGCTTATAGGCAAAGAAACTGGAGGCTCAGAAAAACCATGAACGCAAGCTCAAGTCATAGAGCTGGCCATGGAGTTGGCTTGAGTCATAGGCAGAGCTCGGACCTCCTGGCTCATGATGCTGCCTCTAGAGAGAAGGCCTGGGGTCCTGATGGGATCCAAGCCCCTCCATCTCATCGACTCTCCCAATTATACAGCCAATGTGTATGGAGGCGCCCCACAAATGGGAGCTTGAGGCAATTTCCAGGGGACCCTCTTGTCTGCAGTGAGCCTAGAACTGGGTTCAAGTTCCAGCTGGTCGAGTAATGAAATCTCAGAAGATTTTTGTTCATCTGGGAGTTTGGATGTCTTGAATTTTGGTTGTTTTTCTCTTTTTTCTTCCTCCTTCACTTTGTCATGGGTCTTGAGTGAAAGACATGATCTATGAAGACACAGTTCCTACCCTGCAGGGAGCTAGACTCTTAGGTGTCTGTGCCACTCTCTTGGCAGCGACAATATATCATAATAACCAGCGCGGGCTGCGTGCCAGGCTCTGTTCTAATTGCTTTGCCCAGATTGACTCATTAATTCCTTGCAACCTTGTAAGACAGTCACTACCAATATCCCCATTTCACATATGTGGAAACTTGTGGCCCAGAGAGCTAAAGTGTTGAGTTTTTCAAACTTAGGCATCAAGCCAGACTGGCCGCCTGGGGACCCATGGTGCTCACCCAGCTTCACCATCCTGCAAAGGGCTCCAGCATCCAGGGGCGGCAAATGACAACTGTTCTCACTGTCTCCCCTTAAATATCATGACCTCCATCTACAGTGCTGTGAAGGGCTCTTGGCAAAGGCCACATTTCAGGGGGGCTGGCAGGCCATGCCTCACTCTGAAGAAACACTTTGTCCCCTCATGTTGCTGACCCCCTCTGAGTCTTCTGGGTGATGCCATCAAGGTGTGTCGCATGATGGGGCCTTTGAGAACACAATACCTTGCACATCAGACCCAAGGGACCTGAATTCTAACTCATCACAAACCACGTGTGGGCCAGTTACCTAATTTATCAAGACTCAGTTTCTACATCCATAAAATGGAGCTGAGCACAGAACATGCTATAGCAAAAGCACTCCACTTGCTGCCATTTATTTTTTACAGAGTGAGGATCTTACAAGACCTGGGTTCACATCTAGGCTCCACCACTCGTTTGTTGTGTGACTTGGAGCGAATTCCTTAGCTTCTCTGAGTCGCAGGTGCCTTGTCTCTAAAACGGGAACGAAACCTGTACTGACCTCATAGGCTTGTGTGAGGCTTAAACCAGAGGGTTTATGGATGAGCTTAGCAGAGAACATGGCATCTGGTAAGCTCAGTAAATGGCAAGTCATCCTCTTTAGGGCCTTAGTTCATTCTAATGTGTAAAAGGCTAACAGCAGCTTCGACTATTAGTCTTCTTACTGGTATTTGCAGTTTGATACAGTTCAAAGCCTTAGGCCATGGGGACAAAGATCTATCTTTATGCTTTAGCAACTGGAAAGGATAGAATTTGAGGAGGCAGTGCTGGGGCCAGAAACATTTTAGGGCACCCACGCTGTGTGCCAAGCTCCATGGAGCACCTGCCATGTGGATTAACTAATTCTTGCTGTAACGAGCGTGTGAGGGCAGACCCCACGGCCTCCACCGCACTGGTGGAAAAACTGTACAAAGACACTCAGGCAAGGAGTGTTGTCCAAGATTCACATGCAGTGAACAGCAGAGCTGGGTCCTGACCCGAGCAGATCTGGCCCCGCAGTCACACAGGCAGGAGTTTGCTTCTCGATGGCTGTGGGCTCACCCCAGGCGCAAGGAGCACCCTGCACTGCAAAGTTACTTGCTGACCAGGCGGGAGGGGGTGCAACACCTGGAGACTGTGCAGCACTCAGGTCCCCGGGATCCGGTGCAGGGAGGGCCCCACGCCACCCTGAGACCGTCACACTCCAAGGCTTTCCCTCTGCTCAGCCCACAGGCGACAAGGGCAGAGGGCAGAGCTCATCATCTTAGCAGCTGTCTGCCAGGGACGACGGGACAGTCCGAGCAAGGGGAGTGTGTGGAGAGAGGGGTGGGCCGAGGAAGTGGTGGAGGCAGAGAGAGAAGAGAGGAAGGAGAGACAGAGAAAAAGAAGAGACGAGGGCGAGAAGGGGGCGGGGTGAAGTGAGGGAGGGGAGGGGAGCGAAGGGCCCAGTGTCCCACATTGTGCAGCACCCGCCTTCCGTGGACTGTGGCTACAGTGGTTGGGCCGGCAGGCCCAGGAGCTCCGCAGTGCAATTTCTGAGCCTGCTCTTAGCCGCCCACCTCCACTAACTTTCTTCAGGACCCGCGGGAACCGCCATTAAGGACCTGCTTCTTAGGGTGCTAAAATCAACCACAATGCTTGACTCCCAATAGGGGGTATGGGTTCTCTTTGTTGAAATCTAACATTTTAGGGATTTTCAAGTAAGAATGGGGAAATATCAGCTGTAATATGGCTTCCCTGGAGAGGCAGGGAAGCAAATACCCAAGATCCCCCAAAGTCGGGGGGTGGGGGGAGTCACGTGTATGTCACACACATGCAAAGGCGACCAGGGCTCAATGCTACAGAGACAGACTTAAACACTAAGAGGCCTGGGTGTCTGCAAACAGCAATGAATGCTGGTCGCATCCAAAAGCACCAGAGTCACAAGATGCTACAATTACCATATGTTCACCCTGGTTCTCTGCACCCTCACCCCACCCATCATCCCAGCGGTAAATGCTGAGATACCAACTACATGTCAAGCACAGTGCCAAGCACAAGGGGCACAGATGTGAACAGGTGGGGTGCCTGTCTCAGGAGCCCAGTCTTGGGGAGTCTCTCCTTGGCTGCTTCCTTGCTGTGTCCTCACATGCCCGGCCCTCATAGCAATCACACGTGATCAGGGCCCACCTACTGATGCCATCTGAGCTTTGCCACCTCATTAAAGGACCTATCTCCACCTACCATCATGTTCTAAGGCATGGGGTGTTAAGACTTCACCTATGAACTTAGGGGACACAGTTCAGCCCCTAACCAGAAGCCGTCACAGCAGCTCCAAGGAAAGAGGACGCAGGACAAAGGTAGCAGAAGAGAGCAATTGGCCTGTGATGCCATTGGGACTGTAGCTCACAGATGACGGGGTGGGGTGGGATATCAAAGATGACTCCCCATTTGCTAGCACAGAAAATGGTACCGTCAGCTGAGAAGTGCGTGCAGAATGGAGAGCAGGAAAGTTGTTCTCCCTCTGAGTGTGTTATGACAGCACATGGAAGGTTGTAAAGAAAATCTCAGCCAGAGAAGGTTTGAGAGATTTCGGTAAATGGAAGGCACGGAAACTAGAGGTGTGAATGACTCCACCTTTTAGAAAGCATAGAAGGAGAAGAACAGAAAGCTGGGGACCAAGACTTGCAGAAACGCAAGGGCAGGGAGAGAATTCGAGAAACTCATTTGGGATTAAGCCAGAAAAAAAAACAGAAACCTTCTCTGTAACCTGAAGCAGCGTTCCACTAAATCATAGTGAAATGACATGAAGTGAGATGACTAATAAAGAAGATGAAGTGATGCGAGCCACGTGTTACATAAAGAAGAAAATGAAGCAAGATTCAAGGAAGGAGTTACTGGAGGATTCTTGGTTTGTTAATTAAAGGTCTAGCTTGCCTTATCTCCTCATTTGTTCCATGGGCTGCTGAATTAATAGATTCCTTAACAAAAGGACATTTAAATCAACATATGACACCTGCTTAAATTCTTAAGAAGCCATTAATTACACATTCTTAAGAAAATGAGCTATGATACAACTCCTCTAACTGCATAATTCCTATCTATGCTTCTTCATCAAACGACTTTTCAGCTACAAGATGGATCTTTTCTATTCATCTTCTCCGGTTCTGACCAATTAAACATTTTCTTTCATAATCATAACATTTCACATTCCAAATCTTCAAAAGAAAAGGAGCTTGTTCACGACATACCATTTCCCATTGCTAATTTATGCTGAATTAGATTTCTTAAAAGTATAATATGTACATACAGCACATTAATAACACATTCGGGTTGAACAGAACAGTGGAAGTATTATACTGTGGCTTGACTTTGTATGAATGTTTCAGAGCAATTTTTTTTACAAAAAGTTTATCAATTAATAAATGAATTCCTTTCAAATAGAGGTCAAATTTTGCACATTGCTTATCCACATAGAGAATACAAATGATGAGTGTGTAAGCTTATCCAGAAGAAATCATTTTTTCTAAAGGAATTAGAATGTCTATGTAGACAGCCCTTTGGTGTTTTATAGCTTGACTCATGTTTAATGTTCACTGACAGTGTGTGTCTTTGAGTCATTTATTTCATAACTGTACAGCGGCCACAGCAGATTTCTTCTCCAGAAACCATCCGTTCCCAGTCATCAAAGAACACGTTTTCTGCACTGTGGGTTTCTGAGTGCAATCCAGGAGCAGTGCTGGGGAACTGCGAGTGGTCTGGCTCCCCGTTAGCTGTTCAGCCTAAGATCTCACAGTTCTGACGTAGCCAAGCCTCTCTCCTGGGCTCACCAAGCATAAGCAGGGAAAATCACAAGTTTAGGGTCTTGACCAGAGCCAAATCCAGCACTGCAATTTACCTACTGTCTTTGGCTGCACAAACCCAGGCATCCCGTTGATTTAGATATTGTCAGTGGCAGAGATGAGTAGTTTCAACAGACACGGTATAAGCAAAGCCTAAAATATTTATTATCTGGCCCTTCAAAAAAAAAGAAAAAAGCCAACTTGCATTTTTCAACTTCACCACCTCAACTGCTATGACCATCAAACCATCTTAAATCATTTCTGGAGAGGGAAGGTGTGTACAAACCCAGTCCAAGAGGCCAACCACATTATGGTCTCTTCCCAGTGGATGCATTGTGTTTGGGGGGCAGGTATGAGCCATTGATTTTTTTTTTGCCCAAAGGGTTAATAAGATTTTGGAGCCTACAAAATTAGGGGCTGAAGTTAGTGTCCTTCCTCAGAACATAGCTAGGGATGGAGCTTGCTTCTGGGTATCCCAGACACTGCTTGTTATTACATATTGATAGAAGCCATTGGTTCCCTGCCACCACTCAATATGGCTCCATTCTCCCTAGTATCTCTGGACCCCACCACTTCCAATGGTCTTGGAACAAAGACAAGATACCTATGTTTCTGGCACACATTTTCTGCAACATCTAAATCTGTCCAGAGACAAATCTACACTTTGCATGCCAGTCCTCCCACTCATGAAAAGCTTTTCATGCATAGATATGGAATGCACCTGCATTCAGCCTGAGCACAGTCAGGAAATATGAACTGGAGAGTGTAGGAAAGCATTCTCCCCATGTGATTTTGTCCATCCTCTGAAAGCCAACAAATAAATCGGCCACAGGTGCAGACACACTATAAAATTGTGCAGGACGCCCTGGTCAACAGGGCTATAACCATTTTGACCTGTTTCTCTCTCGTACCTGATCTCCTTGTAGTGTGTGCTGGTCGAGGGGGGTCTTGGTAGCAATGTTGCTGTAGTAGGCATAGGACAGCTCCCAGTCCAGGGGGTACTCATCAATGCCCTGATAGTGCTTGTATCCAAGATTCATTGAAGACAGCCTCTCACTGCCCTGGCCTCCAACCAAGCTATACAGCATGCCCTGTTAGGAAGGAATTGACAAAGCATTCAAAAGGTTGTAGACAGGGACCATAAACTCCTAACATCAAAAGGTCACCTGCCCTGTTCCTGTATGAGCCTGGCCATCCCAGAAACATGTAAGCATGCCTTTAAAAAAAAATGTTTAAAGAAGAAAGCAATACAACTTTCCCATGGTTTATAGATTCCCAGCTATCTGTCCTATTAATGTCTAATAGTGTAAAGTTTCTGGAATTCTGCCCTTTTCGCAATGGCAATGCACAGCCTTCCCCTGATGCTCACAGCATCTCTGCATATCTGCCAAGCAGTCTCAGCGTTCCTGGTCTGATTTAGTTGTATCCTCCATGGCCAGACGGCTGGGCAGGTGGGCGTTGTCACAACCTCACACCCTCAGAATGTTAGTGTTGGGAAGGGTCTTCAGCAATTGAGTGGTCCGACCCATCCCATCATAGAGAAAATAGAGGCCTAGAGAGGTGAAGTCCTTTGTCCATGGCCAACCAGCCACTCTGGCAGAGACAGACTCTTCTACACCATTCCACCTTGGTGGGAATCGCCCCACGGACTCAGAAAAACAAACTGTCCACCATGAGCTCTATCATCAGAGAAGGGAAGCCACTGGAAAGGAATATGGAGCCCCTGGGCCGGTCTACACAGTCCGAATCTTTCCAAACCCAAAATGAACAAGTCTTTGTGCAAATCTGGAAACTAAAAGTGATCAGGGACCATTTAGTGGACTTATAAAACTCTGATTCCCAATGTTAGGCAAGTTGCGTAATAAATTTGGATTCAAAACCAACAACTGTCAAAATCAACAGCTTTTATTTTGATGGTAGAAGACTGCATGTGACAATACTTTCTGGAAGTCCAAATGACTCCATTTAGCTAAAAACATAATATGGGGGTCTCCCTGGTGGCACAAGGAGTAAAGCACCACACTATGAAGCAATCCGCAGCCACATGGTGCAGCAGACCTCTCCTGTTTCACCTGCTACTCCCCTCAACAGTGTATTTCAGTCAATCTTCCTGTTCTGCTTCCCATTCTGTTTTTGGTGAATCCTCTCACCCCCCACATCGCTGGCCTATACCCCATCTCTTGTATGCACAAATAAATAAATCTTAAAAAAAAAAAAATAAGGGATAGTGGTCCCACAGTCAGAGTAGTTACAAGAACTAGGCAAGAGACACTTGTTCTCAAAAGAGTGGGATCCTGGTAAGATCTGCTCAAACTGTTTCTAAGACAGTATACCAATCTCATGCCCGAGTCTATGTCCAGGAATGAAGCATCCTTTTCAGTAACTAAAAGCAGGAGATCCTGTATTTAACACAGCCCCAGGACATTTTTCTTCCATGTAGAGATGTAAAAGACTCCAGGGAGTATGAAGATGTCCAGCAACACCTGGAGCACAAGAGCCCTGCTGTGCAAATGTAACTCAGGTGACTGAAATTTCTGGAGCCCATGAAATACTCTACCTGCAGTTGATCCCGAGGTACATTTAATCCAGTTTCATAAAAGACGGCGAGGTAGTAGGATGCTTTATGGTATCCACAGCAGCTGGAATCCATCAGCGAGGGGATGACAGAGCTAATTTGGTGAAGACCATCGACACTGGAGAGTCTCTTTACAGCCTTCTCAAATATCCTCCCACCAATTTCTAATATAGATTCATTTGGGTTCCTTGGCACTGTACAGAACACAATTCACAGCACACACAATTAATTACCCTGGGATTGACATGGCTTTAGAAAGGAAAGGGGAAAGCCAATTAAACCACCTGAGTTATTAATATGGTTGGTCCTGCAGTGCCTTGAAATATACCACCTTCCAGGGAGGTAAATTAAACCCTTTGGGGATGCCACAGTGTTATCCTGTAAATAGCTTTTTCTTTGCACTAAATGACAGCCTAGCATCCTGGGGAAAAGGATGTGCCTTATATAGCTGAGCACCTCAAGAGAGTAATTTGCTCGGTGTAACTCACCACCTGATTTGGACCACCTAAATTTCTAGAGACCTCTTTTTCCTTCCAGGGGTCTCTGAAGAAGAATGTTTTACCTCAAAAGTAGTTCCTAGGTGCTGCTCTAAAAAGAGCAAAAGTAAAGGAATTTGAAATGCTTTCTGATCCTCTTTTGCCTCTAGGTTTTCTCATGGTCTCTAAATACAACAAAAAGAATGCGTCAACTCTTCTAGAGAACTTGCAATATGTCAAATAAGGGTTGGGCTTCTTCAAATACTGGACTTATGCAAATCATGTCCCGCAATCTGACCCATTTCAGGAGGTAGGCGCTATGATGATGATCCTTATTTTGTTTCAGATGAGGAGCTTGCAGCCCGGAGAAGTCAACTAACCTGTCTGAAGTTACAAGAGCTGGAGAATGGATGGGCCAAGCTTTGGGTCCAACTTTGCAGGTCACCAGAGCCAGACCTCCCACTGAGTGTTCTACCCCCACCTCCGGTTAGTTGGCAGCCAGTCCTCATAAAGACTTCACCGCGGGTACAGACCTTTCTACACAACTGCTTTAAGCTCTGATACTTTTTTTACCCAATCCTCCCATTAACCTGATAAACATTTAGCAAGTGCCATGGCCCCATCATCTAAGTGTCACAATCTTCTAAACTCTGTCTGCATTATTCATCTCTCTTATTTATTAATTCAGCCAGTGAATGTTAACTTTCTATTCTGTGCCTCTGTTAGAAGCTATGAAACCAGAAAGACACGTGAGATTTTGCATACAGCACAAAGAAGTCACTAAGAAGGACACTGGTTATGTTTGGGGAGAAATGGCCACCTGATATAAGAGTAAAATTTTACCTCCTTCAAAAACTGTTGCACCTGACTGTGGTGCCAGCAAACACAAAGCAGCTTCCCCATCGATTCAGGCAGACGGGTAAAGGAGAGTTTAGTGCCCTCGGTGGATATTTCTAGGCTTTAATGCTCTTTCTACGCCAATTGTTGCGGGGCAAACCCACAGGCTGGCAACGCAGGGAGCCCCCGGCAAATCTGTACCCTTTCTCTTTGGGTTCTCTCTGCCGTCACTTGTCCTCTCATAGCCAGCCCACCGAACCTTCTTCCAGTCTCTGAGAGACACCGCCCTTATAGCCTCCGCCTCCAGGCTCAGGTGTGCCCACTTACACACGCCCACACGCACTCCAGGTGCGCGCCATCAGGCATGCGCGCCCCGCACCCATGCTCCCAGGCGCCTCCTGCATAATAGCCACAGAGGCCAGCAGCATGAAAACCTGACCATCACTTTCCCTACATCATTTTTCTTTGATTTTCTTCATTCCATCCAAATTGTAAATGTTGCCAACAACTTCCAGGAGGCAACGGGAGATTTCTGCATGGTGGAATGCACAGAGGCCAGTTTCCAATGGTGGACTCTCAAATGGGAAGATCTAAGATGGGCTGTCTAGGTAATTCCCTGGCAGAGGTCCACCCTAAAAATAGAGACCAGCAGAATCTGCAGACCAGATTGTGAAGCCCAGGTCAGTAGTTATGAGCTGGTGCCAGTCCCTCTGGGCACACGGGCACGCTGGCTGCCGAATCGGGGGGTACATGCCTCCTCCTGCCTTGCTATGCGGGGGAGTCTGCCCACCACCTGCATCCAGTAGCGGGGCCTCTCATCTCGTGGCTCCTGACTATCCTCATCCAGCCTTCTCCAAGTTTCTGAGAGGCAATACACAGCTGGATCTGCTTTCAGTCCAAGATATTGAAGAAAACCACCTTATGAACAAATGGAATTTGCTTCCCTTCCTGCATTTTATTGATCCCCAAAGAAATAGATACTTGTTTAAAAAAAAACACACACACACAATACATATTTGTATAAAATAAAAACAGAAGTTCCGTCTCCTCCAATCCTTAATAGTGAAGATAAAGACTATTAAAAGCTGGTGTGTGTGCTTCTCTTGGCACAAATAATAACTCATATACACATCTGTCTGCATCTATGCATACACATTTTCTTTCCTCTAAGTTCCTGACCCTCAACTTTTTTTTTAAATGAGCCACATATCGGGAGTTTCTGTTCATGGCTATCAAAAGTGCGTTATTTTCTAAAACTTCAATACGATTATACTCCACAGCAGAGTCATTTTCCAACCAATTCTTGGTTTTTAGACTCTTGGGGTGCCTCCAGTGGTTTGCTATAACATGCACATATTGATCATTTCCCTGTGCTCCTCTGTTGGGATATAACTGAATAATAATCTTTTCTACCAGGAGCCTGGGAGCTCCTTTCAGATTTTACCTTCATATGCTTGAGAGAATTCCATCCTATCCAAGTTAAACAGGACAAGAACTTTCTCTGACAGATTCAGTATGTACTGCAGCCATCCCATGGAGTTGCAAATTAAATTCCACTTCTACTTATTCATATATTTACTTTTAGATGGGTACTCAGCTGCCCTCCGTGCACATTCTGAGCAAAGCAGTATTAACATTTTGTTAACAATCCATCCCCACCTCACCTGCTCTACCAAACACCCAACTAAGATGAGGAGTTTTGCCTGAATACCCGCAGACACTGGCTAGATGAGCTCAGAGGACAGAAGATACTCCAAACCAAATGAAGCTCCAAATGAAACACTTGTCCTGCTGACCTCGGCATGGAACCCCAATAATCATTAGCGAGAACACCCAGGTAGCTGGGATTGCTGGAGACTAAGAAGCAATGGGAGAATCCTTCCCATATCTCAAATCCTTAGCACAAAAAACCTCAGAGACTGAAATGTAAGCAGGTTGAAAAGGCTCCATTATTTCGTATACATATTAAAATTCTTAACTCCCCCCAAATATTACCAATCAATATTTTCTCTGTTAAAGAATCTAAACAATTTTCTGCACTAGTGAATATAATAAAAAAAGAATTCTGGGCCTCCCCGGTGGCGCAGCGGTTGAGCGCTGGGTTGCAAAGCTGCCGGCGACCTCTGCGGCGCCGGTTCGATCCCCGGCTGCTCCTCGGCCACCGAAGGAGGGTCCCACATGGCGCGCAGACCTCTCCTGCCGCCCGCTGCTCTCCTCAGCAGTGTACTTCGGTCTTTCTGCCTGCTCTGCTCCCCGCTCTGGCTCTGGTGAATTCTCTCACCCTCCCGCGCTTCTGACTGTACCCAGTGCTTGTATAAACAAAACGAACGAACAAACAAACAAATAAATAAATAAAAAACATGCCTCTAAAAAAAAAAAAAAAAAGGAATTCTAAAGTCAAGCTGCTCATCTTGCACATTCCTTAGTTTGAATTCCACTGCAGCACCAAGCCATGATGACATTGGTGATATTGTAAAACTGGCGATTTTAAAATCAGTTTAATGAAACTGTTAATTTCACCCATCTGGTTTAGCATATGCATTTTTCCTGGTCGATCTGTAACTAAAAAGCATGCCTTGTTCATGGAGATTAATGGCATAATGAAAAAACAAACAAACAAAATAGAGGAAGCCATTTTCCCACTTTCTTTCTGCACCAGAAGCTAAGGAAGCAAAAGCACAGGCACCACTAACCCTCACTGTTTTCCAAGGAGCACCGGCACTGTCCATTTGGCATTTTTCCCTTTTTTTTTTTTAACAACAGTGTCATAAGGTGGCCATTTGTGTGCTTGTCTTTAAAAGAAGCAAGAAAAAGAAAATAAGGAGCTGGCGTCGGCATCTGATTGAGAATTCAGGAGGAGAAAGGCAAACTCATTCCTTGGGAGAGCAACAGGGACGTCAAGAGGAAAGTCATTTTTACTTTCAACTTCCAAAAGGTGTGATGCATCCAAAGCAGAAGTTTGAAAAGGGAAAAAGGACCGAGAGACAAAAGCAGTAACCAGAGAAGGAAAGATCTCCACCCAGTTTACTAGTTAAGGAAAACACAGAACATGTCTCATTAGCATTCTGATCGGGTCAGCCCCGCTGCTTGCAGACCTAAGGAACTGCCTTATTTTGCTCTCAAAAGTCAACTATTCACGCCCTTCTGTCCTGCGCAAATTTCCTGGTTTTACATGTCATCCTCCTTCTTTTCTCTCCTCCTTCCTTTCCTCTCTTTTCCTCCCTGGTCTCTCTCCCCCACCCCTCCCTGTTGTCACCAGGGATTTTCTGGGCAGGAAAATTATGGCCCATTCTTTGTCTCCTTCTTTGTGCCTCTGTATTTTTTTTTTTTAATAACCATAACGTACGCTTACTTAAGTACAGAAAAAATACAAAAGATGATGGCTCTTCAGTGAATAACAATGCAAGTAGTTCTTCAGGGACACAGTACCCCGGTGTTATTAAGTGACATCGTTGTATTTCTACCATTTCCAGAGTCTCCGAATAAACATGACAAGTGTTGGCAAAGATAAGAGTAAAAAAAAAAAAAAAACCCACAAAAAAACCCAAACCAGAGTGGCGCCAGTGTGGCCAGCACCCCTTGGCACAGTGTGTGGAGACGCCCCTTACCCTGTGCTCAGCATGGCAAAGCCTGGGGTGAGAGTCAGGACGTCCCTGGGGACCGAGGCAGATGGCGTCAGCCCTGCCAGCCCAGCCTGGGACCTGGCCTCATCCCAGGGCCACTTGCTGGCAGACCTTGTCTCCAACAGGCACAGCTCCCAGCTTCCAGGGCTCAGAGGTGCCCCCCCAGAATGAAAGTAAGGAAAGCAGTGAAGGGTTCTGGCCTCAGGCAGATGTCTGCAGGGGCCTGCGGTTGCCTGTCTGTCCCCATGCCTGCCCTGC